TATCACGTAGCTCTACAGTACAGCCTCTTTTATCTTATCGATTGGGTTGTTTCATGACCACTTCAGTTTCTTGGCTCAACAAAAATAAATCAATCCAACAAGATTAAAGCAGCAGACAAAACAAACTGGTGACTAGCTTGTCAAGATGGAAATGAAAAACTTCAGTTAATGCAGCTAAATTCATTTTAAAAATCCCCTAAAATAGCCTTGAAACAAGTAACAGAATTAAAACCGCTTCAAATATCCGTCCATGTGGTAGTTATCAATCAGAACTGATAATGTCCTTCTTCCATACATTTTCTTAGCCTTAAAGCTAGTTGTATAAACTAACAATACAATGAAACCTAAATAATTTGACAATATTTAATTTTGTTGGATCAAAGCTAAATTTACAACAGCACAGGTACACTTTCTTTCTGTAAACCTCTCCACCTCCGGCTGCTGTGAACCCATCCCCTCTCCACACCACCACTACCACACATGCCATCCTGACACTCACTGGAGAGAGAACAAATTTAGGTTTAAAATATGAAACCCTCTCTCCTGTGCATAGTGAAGATGAAAGTCACTTGTCGGGAGCTCAGGGATAACCGGTGAAATGATGAATGGCCATTCCTGCTTGTCAAGGAAGGCAGGATGAGCTACAGTGTGAGTAGGAGTTCAGCACTGAAGTACTTCCTCATATTATAAGGTATGAGAGAAGATTGACAGCGCTAATTATGGACGCTCTTTAAATGACTGACCTTGGAAGGCAATGGAAATAGCCATAAGCCCGTGAATACAAGTGCAGAAACAGACAATATATTTCCGAAAAGAGACATATCTCAGTTCAAGTCGATCTCCAATGCTGTTTGCTCTCTAGGCTGCCACCTATAGGACCCTGTGCTGTTGCAAAGTGAGCTCTGAAGTAATCGGGACTATAAACATGCATGCTGTTATCCTTTATTCATGTGTTTTACATTAATGCCACATATCCACTCACACAACCACCTTTCTTAGTGTGTATGTAGATAGGACCCCATCAACAATGACTTAAAAGCTTGGCAAAGCATATAAAACAGTAACAGTCAACATCATTGGATATCCCACAGAAATGTTAAAAAATAACTGTTTCAAGCAACCTGACAATTTTGAATCACTGCCGTTTCCAAACTAACACTCAAACATCTGCTTCAGTGATCTATATTCAGCCTCAATATTTTCTTTGTTTTTTATGTCAAATATGTCCTCTGTCAACAATCTACAGAAAAAAATGTACTGACCAAAATTACACTGTGGATAGAACTAACATCAAATGCAGAAACCATGTTGTACGGTGCACAGATCTTCAACACACTGCTCCTTCTGTGTAAGCTGTGCCTTGAAATTAAGGCTGTGTGGGGTTATTTGTCCCGAGGAAAAGAGACTGAAAGATTATAAACATATGGCAAAGAAATCTTACTGCATGCAAATCATGTCTAATGGGATCTGGCTCCTTCGCTGTGGAACCTGCACCTCTGAGCAGAACAGCTCAAAACAAATTCAATCCATCACTTAAGAAATGCAACCAAGAACAGGCTGTGAGTTCTGATGGGAAGCAGGGTCCATTTCAGCCCTTTGCGAGTAAGAAATGTCATGATCATATTTATCCCTCCACCAGCTGCAGCACAGGGAACATGCAGCAGAGTCAGTCCAACAATCCGTGCAGCTCAGTGAAACACACACACAGCTTGACAGCAGACAGAAGATGGTACGTTACCTTAGCAGAAAGCAGCGAGGAAATGGCAGGTGTTTCCTAGTGCAGAAAAAACAGCTAGCAGCAGAACCGGGAATGGCTATGCCAGCTATGTTGCATAAAATGGTTCATCAGTGCTCGGCAGAAAGAGGCACAGCCAGGCAGCACAGGGGGAGAGAGAGAGGGAGAGAGAGAGAGAGAGAAAGAGAGAGACAGCCAGCGAGCATCATTCAGCTCACACTACTGTGGCTGTGCAGCAGAGCACACACATCAACACGCCCCCTTCCTTTCTCCCTCTCCCTCACTTTCTCCCTCACGCACACACACATGCTTAGTCACACAGATTCGAGCACGCAGGGGTGCAGAGGCAGTGCAGTGCGCAGCAGAACTAGGCAGTGCTCCCTCTCTAGGATGTCTTTGGTCTTCTCAGATCTGAAAACTGCTCCTTTTCTCTGACTTATTCTCGGCGGTCATTGATAATCCTGTCCATAAAAAAACCTGTTCCGTCCCACTACCAGCTCACCTCGCCGCCACTGATGAGCAGCAGGGTTTGCAGCTGGCAAGGTCATGTGGGGTTCTACTGGCATCCCCCCTCTGGTCTACGCTCCCAGCTTTGTTGAAATATCTCTCAGCTTCCTTTTTTTGCCAGCTGACACGGGGACTCTGGCTTGGCTTGTCATGGGTCATTATGCCACAGAGGCTCCCTTGAGGCTGGGCTCGTCAAACCCTCACTCACTGCACGGTGGGCCAGACCAATCAGCTATCACAAACAGCAGTAACGTCGTTACCATCCAATCACAGGTCAGGAAATGAAGTGCAGAAGAGTATTAAAGAGGATTATTTGGGCCGTCCTGTTTTTTTTTTTTCTCCCTTCAGCATGAGGGGGATATGGAGGATAGGGGCAGAGCATCTGCAGTGTGGCTGCCCTCTGTGGCTGACAGTGGTGCTGCACTCTGTTGTGAGACAAGCACAAAGGAGCAGGGGGGGCAAAACAAATATGTTTTTCCTGATTGAGGACACCTAGCAACTAAAGCTGCTCCTTAATGTTGTTTTGAGCCTCCCCCCCCTGCCCTCCAGCGGGACACTGTACAATCCCAGTCGAGAGATACTGTATAATGCACATGCAATGTATCTGTTAAAAAGTCGAATCAGGACATAATCACATGAAACTGATGTGAAATTGCACCACCTGCACCATAAACACTAAACTTGATAGTTGCTGGAAGGACCCCTGATGTTTTCACTGCCACAGATGCCATCAACAGCCATAGTGTATCTGTTCTCTTTGGGGTTTTATTCAAAGGAAAACTAAATAATATCACAACATCAATGTGCGACTGCAATCATTACTGTTTTGGGAAATAACTTCACCCATATCACTTAATTATTTTGGGTCTTTCACGTAAAATTCCAATTGAAAATGTCTTGTCTAAGGATCTACATTCTCCAATCACATCAAATCTGCAGAGATAAAAACAATTAACAGATTCTTAAAAGATTCAGGGAAGCATTCTGATTTGATCTGGGATGAGACCTTTCATCTTAAGAATGGGAGATAGATCTGTGAAGGGAATAAAACCCTTGGCAGACAGCTGTCAAAGGACAGCAGGGGTCAGAAAAGCAGCTTGAGTCCTACTTCAGGCAAATTCACACGGATAGAGGTGTGAACAACTGCTTTGATATTTTTCCCTTTGCATATTAACTAAATTTTAGTGTGGTACAATACCACCATGAAGAGATAAGCTTATATACTAAGAAGAAGCAGATGTTTTGGACATGTGTAATGATGAAAACAAACAGCTAGAGTTACAAATACTTCAAAATTACTATCATTATTTTTTTCTTCCACTTTATTAAGGATAGCATAAACACTGGCCAGGGCCACTGACTTCATTTCACAGCAGGTCCTGCCCTGCCTCCTGCTGTTAGCTGACAGTAAACAACTTAAAGCGTTTTTTCCAGACCCAAGTTTCACACCATTGAGACCCAAGTTTCAATAGAACATTAGACTATTGTTTTTATCTTTCAAGAACCTTACCGTCTGGCTGTATGTAAGACCACCCCCTTTTTTTAAAACAATTGTGTAGTTACCAAAAAGCGTTTCACATTATTCTTACTTGTTATCCCAAATTAAAATACTGCTTAATCAAGAACACATTTCAGTTATCTTAACCATTGCGATCGTTTTCACAAAGACAGTCCTGGCCAATCACAGATCTATCATAACACAATTACCAGTAAAAACTGTATATATATGGCAATATCTTGTTCAGGCCCAAAGTTCCTACAAATCCCAGACATTAACATGTTTTTGTGCAAACTCCAAGTATGTTAATAGGCTCAGGAAGTGGATTTAATTAAAACCAAGTGAGTGCATAAATAGCTACATTTTCCTTGGTGCACAGTAATCTAGACATCTTGAGTAGTGGGTGTCTATAGTTATTCACAGCTGTGAAACATGATGCAGAAATGTCACAGACCTGCTCAAATGCTATCAAATGTTGTCAAATCAGATGACATTATTCACTGTATTTAATTAGATTAATGTTATATAACAACATGTTTAGCTTTCCGTTTATGAACAACCAAATGCTACCTACAGGAAATGTCCTGTCATATAATGCTTGTTGAATAACCATATTTACATAACAGATTAAAATACAATCACAAAGTATAAAATTTCTGACTGAAAAAGTTAAAGAGTACATTTCACTTTGAAATGAGATCAGACTAAAGCTGCGGGCATGAAATGTTGCTGACTCTGACAGTGCTCAGACATGGTTAAATCAAAGGTTATCTCTTAAAAATCCGCACTGTGCTCACCTCGTCTGCGCCTTTCATCCGACTGCTCTTCTTTGCTGTGGCTAACCTTTGCTTCTGGCAGAGCACTGTCTCTCTCTGAGTCTGTCTCAAGAGTTTCTCCACCTTGCAAGTCTTCTCACAACCCATTGTCCCCTGGCACATGAAACAGATATCAAGTTAAGCCTCGCATCAATCACATTATACGTCTCAGTAATACTTCCTGTTTGGTACAAGCAATAACCCACCATGACTGAACACTTTGCATGCTTCCCCCAATGCGTGTCATGGTCAGCAGTGCTGGATGATGTCATAACTCTGGCATGCTCAGATTATAAATATCTGTATTCTGCAGAGTTACATAATAATGGATGTTGGATTATTGTCAGTGCATACAGACAGAGGAGATAGCACAGCTGCCACAGGAAATTCACCAAGCCATCTAAAGCCATATTCAATCTAAAAGCATGCAATAGATGCATGTTTATACATCAGGGTAGATTTATTTCCTCTGAGAGTATGTGTTAATATTATATAGATGATTGTGTTGCAAACTTAAATGGGAATTGTGCATTTTATGTTTTTTTGTGCATATAATTTAATGCTAAAGCCATTATGTTTACAGGTAGAACAATATCACATTCATTGGACTAGAGCATGAAATCCAACATGATTCTGTGAGATAAATGTGAGTGCAGAGAAATGACACCCTGCACTGGTGATCAGTTCAATGCAGTTTCCACTGTGTCATCTATGGTAGCGTGTTATCTACACCCTGCAGAGAAGACTATTGGCTTGTGAATTTTCATACACTGTCAGTTCCAATTCCAATTAAAACAAGCAAACTACTGTATAATGCAATTCCCCCTTGTCACTGCAGGATAATGAAGTCACCTCATTTACCATGCTGCATGCAGCAAAATAATGTTGTTTCCATGGAGCCTTCACCATGCTGTAGAAGTTACTGTCCATAGAAATTACGCAAAAGAGAATTAAGACATCAACATGTTTGCACATAGTGTGGCATGCCACTTCACCTGATTTTGTGAATCAAACCACACATACACTATATTGCCAAAAGTATTTGCTCACCCATCCAAATTATCGGAATCAGGTGTTCCAATCACTTCCATGGCCACAGGTGTATAAATTCAAGCACCTAGGCATGCAGACTGTTTTTACAAACATTTGTGAAAGAATGGGTCGCTCTCAGGAGCTCAGTGAATTCCAGCGTGAAATTTCCTCGCTCCTAAATATTCCACAGTCAACTGTCAGCTGTATTATAATAAAATGGAAGTGTTTGGGAACGACAGCAACTCAGCCACGTAAACTGACGGAGCGGGGTCAGCGGATGCTGACGCGCATAGTGCGAAGAGGTCGCCAACTTTCTGCAGAGTCAATCACTACAGACCTCCAAACTTCATGTGGCCTTCAGATTAGCTCAAGAACAGTGCGCAGAGAGCTTCATGGAATGGGTTTCCATGGTCGAGCAGCTGCATCCAAGCCATACATCACCAAGTGCAATGCAAAGCGTCGGATGCGGTGGTGTAAAGCACGCCGCCACTGGACTCTAGAGCAGTGGAGACGCGTTCTCTGGAGTGACGAATCGCGCTTCTCCATCTGGCAATCTGATGGACGGGTCTGGGTTTGGCGGTTGCCAGGAGAACGGTACTTGTCTGACTGCATTGTGCCAAGTGTAAAGTTTGGTGGAGGAGGGATTATGGTGTGGGGTTGTTTTTCAGGAGCTGGGCTTGGCCCCTTAGTTCCAGTGAAAGGAACTCTGAATGCTTCAGCATACCAAGACATTTTGGACAATTCCATGCTCCCAACTTTGTGGGAACAGTTTGGAGCTGGCCCCTTCCTCTTCCAACATGACTGTGCACCAGTGCACAAAGCAAGGTCCATAAAGACATGGATGACAGAGTCTGGTGTGGATGAACTTGACTGGCCTGCACAGAGTCCTGACCTCAACCCGATAGAACACCTTTGGGATGAATTAGAGCGGAGACTGAGAGCCAGGCCTTCTCGTCCAACATCAGTGTGCGACCTCACAAATGCGCTTCTGGAAGAATGGTCAAAAATTCCCATAAACACACTCCTAAACCTTGTGGACAGCCTTCCCAGAAGAGTTGAAGCTGTTCTAGCTGCAAAGGGTGGACCGACGTCATATTGAACCCTATGGATTAGGAACGGGATGTCACTTAAGCTCATATGTGAGTCAAGGCAGGTGAGCAAATACTTTTGGCAATATAGTGTATGTTCCCACTTTTTTTTCACTTTTGTTTGACAGAGCATCAAACAGTAAATTAACAGATTCAAAGAAATAAAAGATTAACTGCAATTTTAACTTTTAAATTGTTTATCACTGACATGATAATACATTTCATTTTCATTTATTTAGATATGTATCATTTAAGATTTTGACCTGTTTTGGTTTAATATTTGAATTTATATTTTCTTATGAGTCTAATAATTATGTTCCTTTGTATGTTTTTCATTTAAGGAAAAGCTCAAATATGTCTTTGAACGTATAATTGACAGTCTTATTCAGATCATGTGATTTCCTTTACCTCAGGATGACTATTTTTGGTTTATGTTTATTGAGAGTAAATGTTTTGTCTGTTTCATGATTGTTGCCTCATTTAGCTGTCTCTTTTACTCACTGGCCACATGAAAGCCACGAGGAGGTAAAGTCACATGTAATTACATTCACATGATGTCAGAAAGATGATGAAGAGCTTTTTTTAGCCTTGTGTAAATATGCCACCATTACATCTTACCAAAAGACACAGCTACAAAAGAGAAAAAACATATGCTCTACATCTAAGTGTCTCATTTAAACAATGAAATATGTAAATTGACTTTTTTATGGTAAAAATAACCACCTGTGACCTACTCCTACCTAAAGGTCTATAATGCTAAAGCATTTTGTGCAAGGAGCTAACCCAACAAGTTAATTCTGAAACAGAGCATAAAACGTATATTTTACCATATAATCCCAAAATAAATCTTTTTAATAGCAGTCCTTTTTACATGTGATGGAAGAGGGCAGGCTTTGCTAATTTACTTTGAGCCCTTAACCTCAAATAAAACATGGCAATACCTGTTTTTAAAAAAACTATTTTGAGGTTCTTTAAACCATCCCATCTAAGCTCTTGAAGCAAATAAAGTATTTTTTTAACAAATCATTTACAGATGATTATGGTTATGACAGGTTATGCTATTGAAATCAATAATTTGTTAATTATTTTGCCCATTATATTGTGGTTGTGAAATGCTTTACAAAGACAACCCTGCTGCCATTTTAAAACATTTGAGCACAGATATCCGCGAAAAATAAGGACCAAAGATTTTCAGCTGCAGGAAAGCTGCTGCTCTGGGAAGGTTGTAAACTGAATCTCTTGTGTGGCTGGATCATGTAGCATTAAACCCAACTGAAGCACATCATTAATTATGCAATTAAAGAGGACTAAGATTAATGTTTCGGCAGCTCAAACCGCTGTCATCAATCCAACTGAAATGGTTTTCATGTGTCCCTTACGGCAAGGTTTAGAGTTCAGAGTTTGGCTTCAGTCGTTCCATGAGGGAGTGTGCATGTTCCACCTGTGCAGGTTTTTTAGTCAGAATTTCAGCGTCCTGTAAGATCAAACACATGCATGTAAGGATTATGTAGTTCCTAATTTTAACAAAGGAATTAATACGCATGGATGTTTGTCCCACTGGTCTCTCTCTATCGGTCCTGTGATTGATGGCACCAAGAGGCCCAAAGAGTAACTGACCTCTTGGCCTGTGACAAGCTCTGGCCTGTTGAAGTGGGTGAATAAGAATAACCAAATGTAAGTATAAACAAATGGACCTTAATGATGGAGTTTGAAATGTATATATTGTGATGATTAAAGTGTCTTACTCAGTGACATAGAAAAACACCCATGAACAGAATTTTAGATCTTTTTAAAAAAAACTCTGATTCTCCTTTTCTAAGTCAGCCTCTAAAGTATTATTTGATCTACTAACTGAAAAAGGAACTTGCCCTGCAGGGACCAACTTCCACTTTTTCCACTAATCTTGTTTGGGTGATTACATGGAAATCAAACACTTTTAGCAAAGTGCTTATTAGGCCTGAAGTAAACAGTACCCTCTGTTTCTCTCTACACACAAACCCCACACAACTACACTTCCCTCTGTTTACTGCTACACAAATTAAACATCCAAATGTTTGGTGAGCTGAAAGGAGAGAAAACACAGCGAATTATGACCCACAAATTCAGAAGTTGAAATTCAAACCAATCCCACGTCACATTGAAAATAGCAATAAACGTTAAAAAATAAGAGAAACTCCACATAGATTATTTTTTAATCAAATTGATTGCTCAGCTCCAGTGTAATAAAAAGTAGTTGCAACCAATTTAAAATGTGTGCTCTTGAAATAATTGTCCAATTTCAGTGTATTACTACAACACAAGTATTTCAGTCATAACACACCATGATTACAATATATACAGCCCAGTAAGTTAAGGCGTCTTAGAATAAATTTCACAAGGGCACTCAAGCAATGCTGCTGATTAAATAATTTATGACTAAAAATCAAGAAAAGGCAATCACATCAAATAAGTAAAAGAAAACATTCTTCTGACACAATTTTCCCAAAAGCTTTCAGGGTCTATTTTGGTTTGTCAAGATTTTTCTATTACTAAGATCTCTTGAGCTGTGGCAGTTTTACATTCAGTTCACATAAATTACAGGTCATCACCAAAAAAAAAGTTGAAGAGTGCACAAAAAGTTGACACTTTGAACACAGATTCTACAAAGCCCTGTGTGGCAATTTTACAGTCATTGCATCCTTTAACCATTGCAGCAGAAGTTGAACAGTTGGACAACAAGATATTTTTCATGCCTCCCTATGTTATACTCTTATATTAGAAGAGTGGTATATGTTCATGTCTGTGAGATAAATATGAAGCTTCAGCCAGCTGGTGTCAATAACACAAATTTTCCCCTCACACAAGTGAAGTCAATGAGCAGACAAATTGTTCCCCAAAATGTCCAACGACTGTTTTAAAGGCATTGCCTTGAGAAAGTGATATAAAACATCATATAACTGCTCCATTTCAGTTTAACAAAAGGTCTGATGTAATTGGTTTAACGTGTATTATACACACGATACACACAAAATATCCATACATATACAATTGTGATTAAAAACTTTCTTTTTAATCCAGTAACAGTTTCGTTATGGACTGCTCCAAGCTTCAAAACAAGTTTATGTGAAGATGTGAGCCAGACATCCATCATTCATCGAAGACCCCCACAATGATGATGAGTAAAAGTAAGAAAGCTCCACATGTGGCGAGGTAGAGAAGTTTCTGCCAAAAACAGAACAAATGATGAGTCAGAATAACTGGCTGTTCCAGAGGAAGAGCTGAAAGATTTATGATGAACAAAATGGATGGATAAAGGTTCAGCTGAGGAAATTGAGGTTTGGGCAAAGGTGTGAGCCAAAGATGTTACCTTGTGTGGGAATCACAGCAGGTCTCACGCGGGAGGTTTGGTTAGTCCAACTGACAGGCCCACAATTAGCGCGATGACAGCAAGCAGGATTAGCAAAGCAAAGGCAATGATGATGTATTTCTGTCAAATGGAGAAAGCTAAATGAACTCAAGCCAAAATTAGGCCCTCTTTGTTATTGATGTTAGAAAACATCTTTTCGTTCAAACCTAGCTACTTTCACAGGCCATTTACAACTTTTGGAGAGGACCACTTACCCTTCGGGATTTCTTCTGGTATCTCACAGCTTTTTTGGTCTCCTCTTTTCCACGATAAACGTACTCGGCCGCATTGGAAACATTGTTCTCGATATTGTTCACCATGTCGCCCTGTAAATGATCACATCCATGATATTTATTTGCTGGGATTTGTCTCATTGAGCCTAAACTCGCACACTTCTGAGGTTTAGGATGTGATGGTTAAGACCCCCGTGGACATGAGTTACAAATAAAAATGAAAGTCTTACCTGAGTTTCTACCAGCATTGCCATGTCCATAAACATTGCATGGAGCTCTCTGATGCTCGACTCCAACCGCATGATGTCCTGGTGACGGGACTCTATCTCGTTTACGGCCTGTCGTGTGATCTGGGAATCAGATATGATCTGTGGGGGGGAATTAATGAATCAATGAACTAATCCAAACACAGGTATTTCTGGCGTCTGTGTGAAAATATACAGAGAATACAACGTCATGGTTGTTGACAGACGGGATCTAGAGGGAGCAATGATGTTGAATAAGGGAACATACGTCAGATGTGAAGATGGATGGACTGCCACTTTCCAACATGTCCTCTAGTTCTTCGTTGGTGGTCACTCTTCCAGCTGCAATAATGAAAATACACAGACTGACCTGTTATTTATATTTGATTCCTGAAGCTCTGTCTAGGGTTTTGTTTACTTTCACAATTGGCAGAAATTTTGTACTTCCATTTAATTATCAACAACTGGCATTTAATTAGTTAGATTTTGGGGTTAGTTTGGAAATTAAAAACATGATTGTTTAATTTTTGTGTTTGTTTGATTACAGATTTAAACTCCCTCCTCTTTCTACTTTGATTTAAGCCATGACTCATTTCTTTTTGGAATGTCTTTTTCCCTTTTCAGCCAGTCGTTGATTTGTTGGACGTAGAGATCTCCAACAAGCCAGTTTCAAGTACAAGTAATCTAGTGGGGCTGTATCAGGGATTTTATTCCACTATTCTGTTTTGTTGTTTGCTGTTTGTTTTAAATATTCAATAGCATTAAAGATGCGAGAATACTTATTGTATTTTTTGGATATGTAGGGAATGCATTTATTATTGATAAGTAGGGAATGCATTTATTATTGATATGTAGGGAATGTATGTATTATAAGGTTCAATGGTGTCTGAAGAATAAAGGCACATTACACCTCTCGCAGAGAAACGCCTGCTGAGGCTCAGAACAGTAAACTGTTGCTGCTGTTGTTCACCTCACTCCCTGGAGAGGCAGATCTCTGGGCAGGTGCTTATTGTGTCACACACCTTTCTCAATTTCCACTCCTCAGAGAGTCAAACCCAAAGCAAAAAAAACACACACACCATGAGCACAGATCACCGGAAGGCAAGAAGCCATGTCCTCTGAATGATCTAAATTAATGGTGAGAGTCAGTGACAGCACAGACTGAGGTTGGCATGTTGACAGACAGGTGAACTTCTGTTACACCAACCCCTGAGCCCTCTGTCCGTTTCCCAGGCAACGCAAACACAGGGAGGTGTCTCCAGTATCAGGCTCTTCACTCTCCAGTGTGGAGTCGTGGAGCCTCTCATTAATGCTGGCCGCAGGGACTGTGGGAAGCAGACCTATTTTTCGCTTTCACTGCTTTCTCATGTTTCCTATTTGTGGATGGGACTATGGGGTTGTTGTTTTGATAAAAATGTAATTAATAGGAAACATCAAACCCCACAGTAGCGGTTATATTACACTACATTGAAATGCAGTATCTATTTCCAACTTATATTTGATTATTTTTGTCTCTTTAGTACTTTATTACTACTCTGTGTTTACTCTATTTCTTTTACCCTATAATCTGCACTTTCTGCTGACCTTTAAAACAAGGAATATGCCATGCGTGGAAGTGATGAGTTGAGACCTATTTGAAGAGAAAATGCCTGTCATCCTTAATACAAGCTGTTACGTCTTTGAAGCTGCATTTAAAAAACTTTAATCCAGTCATGATCTCTCTGTCTTATACGGAACTAGGGTTCCCAGTATTTCCTACTTACTTATTTCCAGCTGCCTCTGAATCCTTCCTTTACTCCTATCCCGAAAAGACACCTGAGTCTCATTGTACTGAGTCATGACGTCCACAAACTTTCTTGAAAGCACCGTGTGCTGAGGACAATAGAAAATATAAGAATAGGGAGAAAAAATGTGCTGTATGTGTTCAACAATGCAAGAATAAAGAACTCAATGCCCTGCAAAATGAAGTGTCAATGTTTAAATTGTTGAAAGGAGATTTCCATCTGTCTGAACAATTTGCTCTTACCAAAACTGGCAATTTCCTCAAACACTAACAGCTAACGCATTCAAATTAAGTGATTTATCTATAGGCTATGTGCAGAAAATGTGAAAGTTGAATATGAAAATGGATCACTGGTTGATTGGTTTTCCGACCTGTGTTTTTTGGATCCTGAAGTCAATGGAGGATCTATTAGCAACGTCATCGGTTGGCATACTTTGCTCCATAACTTCACAAAGAGAGAAAGAGAGAGAAAGAGACAGAGAGTTCAAACAATTGGCAGGAGCTGGTGTCAGTAACAGTGTGAACATCACACAGTGGCCAAACTCACATTTTAATTTGGTTCGCACCACGTTGGCGTTCCCCTTGATATCGTTGGTCAGGGCACTGAGCTGATCCTTTGTTCCTTCACATGCAAACAGGATATACAGCCGGGTTGGGGTTGTTTATCAGAAAGAAAATGCCATCTAGCTAATCACTGTGGGCCTGTCTCCTGTTAATATTGGATTTACTCCGATTCTATCTTGTCACTTGGCAACATCCCTGGGGCAGTACTGCAGAGGTCAGACAGCACAAGCCCTTTGTTCCTTCCCCTGGTGGCCATCAAACAGCTACAGGCGTTGCATGGCTCTGTAAAACGTGGTTTCTTTTGTCTTTCAGGCCTAAACTCACATGCTGAGGATGATCAGAAACCGATTTTGTCGTCGTCATTTCAGTTATTTAGGTTTTAAATAATTTTATGTTGATTTTTCGTACTGAATTACTGTCCATATCCATAGGGAAAATAATTATATGTTCAACAGTATGTCTCTCTCTAACCAGCCAGAGTAATATTGAAATGGTCTTCTGAAGTTTGGGGGAAAAACGTTCTGTTTCCTCACAGGAAACAGAACGTCTACAACCAAGAGGAAACATCTGCTGCATGTTTATCCAATGCTCAGAAAGTACAACTATGGCCTAAGTGGTCTGTTTTACCCACCTTTATTTACACAGAACATTTTCACAACAAAGACACCTTAAAAAGGAACCCTACATTTCTAGTGTCACCATAAACATGTAAGGGATGCACACAGCAGAGCCCCAGAGTACACAGTCACACACTTACTGTCATCCGGGTGGGGTGCAGACAGGATCATGCTGTGCATCTTCCTCACCTCCTCTACTTGGTAGGAGATCTTATCGATGAGCCCTCTAACTTCCTCCACCTAAAACAACCAATAAATAAGTAACCAATCGGCACCTCGAACTATCAGCGTCCATCCTAGAGTTGACGGTCGTACCCACCCGCCTAAAAAAGCCCTCCATGAAACTATCACTGCAGTCCACTGGAACTGCATTTTCCTCTTCCGCTTGCGGGCTACTCTGTACGTGTGAGACATGCATTTGGGTGACTTTTTTCAGGGGGAGATTGGAAATGTCAGCCCAAAGCCGCCGAATGCACTTACAGCAGTTAGTTCGGCCAATCGGTCCCTCATCCCGTGCGTCTCCGGCTCAGGTTTAAGTCTAGCGACGCATCCGCCAGCTTTCCTCACAGCTAAACTCCATGAGTAGACTCTCCCAGCCAGCGCAGGACAAGCTGAAGCTTGGGAGGGTTGATGAAGCAGGCCCCAAGTCCAGAGGTTACCAGGCAACTGTCGGTGGAAAGGGAGCGGTGCGCGCTCGTTCCAAAAGTTAGCGTTCAAAACTTGGCCAAAGGAGCGTTTCTAACATAGTAAAAAATTATAAAGTGTGTTTAAAAATAAACACACTTCTGAGTTTTAGTCAATGAAATACGTTTCCTCACAGCACAGGCGTGCCTGATCCGCAACAGTAGGTTGACGGTAACGCTTCACCCGGGATACGTTTCCTCCTCCACCTCTCTCCGTCCTACACACCCACATCTACATCCACAGCTGCGTGGGGGTGTTCAGTCCCAGGTCTCCACCATGAGGAGAGGCAAAACTAAGAGTGCACACCCCATTTGTGTGCGTTGCTGTATGAAAATGAAGTATTTTCCTATTTTCTCGAACCTTGAAAACAAGCACGCCACAGCAACTTGAGATGGTTAGATAAATAAATCATTTATACCACTTGGTGGCCCTGACACAATCCTTTTCCTGATCACACGATGGCGCTGTTTACCTTAGATTAAATTCATGTTGGCTTCGGGAGACTGAGATGGGACAGTCTGTGCTTATGTATTTGCAAATCTAATTGAAGTAAACGCAAGTTAAATGTCCGTTGCTCAATGAAGGTTTAACATTTCTCTTTTAAAATGAACAATCACCAGGTTGATTGTGGGGTTTCTGGGCGTTGTTGTAAAACATTGGATATCGTTTTTCCGATGTTGCCATCTGTCACTTCTGTCATATCTGAGATGCACTTTCAATAGACTTGGAGGGAAAAGAGCATCTAAGATCTAAGCTGTGAGCCCGACGTGTAGCCCAATGTCCATTAATTACAACACAAAATGTAAAAAGTATTTGGATATTTACGCTCACAAATTTGTTTTCCCAGAGTGACTCTTCGCAAATCTCCAATTACGCACAAACAATGCCATTTACGCACAACTTCAACGCCCCTCCTCAGAAAGTCCAAAAATGACATCACGCTTTGCAATTCCCACGTTGAGTCCAGTAGTTTAGTGCGCCTCCACTGAGCTCCTCGCAGTTTCCAGATGCAAGCGCAGAAACCCAAAGAAACAGCTACAAGTTGAGTGTGTGCACAGCGTGGATTTGAACTTTCTGCGTGGACGTTTGACTTCAGATTTAACATGACAGGGAAACCTCTGAGGGTTTTCTACCTCACACCACAACTCTAGATTGACAGCTTCACAGAACTTTTAGCACACTTATAATATTATTAAGTCTGGATACATGGACTGATCAAAAGTGTGGTCTTCCTCACCTTGGAGCAATGATTAAGTCCTCTTGGATGTATTTTTATTTGGGGATTTAATTTTCTATAGAAAACAATGCAACTGGTACATTCCTCAAGAGCAATGGAATTTTGTTTGCAAATTCATCTTTTTACAGCTTTTGTCTCCTGTATCAAGGTAAGTGCATTAAAGTCTCCTGAAAAGGAAATATTTAGTTTCTCGTGTAAGGTTTGGATCATTTGATGCCTGGTTGTCTTTCCTACAGGTTTTTGCTCGTGTGCTCCCCAATGTGAAGCATCCAGGTAAATCTTTTGTGCGTGTGTGTGATAGATTATGTAATATTTTTTGTTTTGCTGTGCTGTTTAAAATGGCCAGATCAGATGACAATATACTGGACAAGGTAAATACAACAATTTGTGAGTGTTTGCCTTTGCCAATGTCCAGGCCAGGGGATTGTTATTTGTTTACTTCTCTTCTCCCTAATCAGAAAGGTCTGCGCCATAAATACGTTCTGGGGCAGTTTGTGCCTTTATTGTAGGTTTTTTAAACCAAGCTAAGAATACGCAATTCCAAGTCGGCAGACTAAAATCAGAGTCATGCGATGAGCGTCCTTCTTGGACTGTTGACTGATCTGTGAAATCTCTGTCCAGGCCTGCAGGTGTTGGCCACGGCCTCACATTATTGGCCACTTGATGCTGTGGATGGAATCCATGAACTTTGGGACCATATTGGAAACAGACCAGGTTATGTTAATGGAAGTAACATAAGTATGTGCCTACATATCTTACGCAAGCACGTTCATCGTGCTCTTTGAAAGTCTTGCTCGGTTAAGATCTAGTGTATTTCATGTGAAAATGTTTATTATTATTCATTATAGAGCTAAATATATTTTTTATAAATAGTGTATCCCATTGTTTTAAGTTTTAGAAGTATAAATCAATCATAAATCAGCATTGAAGTAGTTACTTTCCTGACGTGCCGTTTTTACAAATGTTGTCATACTGTGTAATGTAAAAGTTGAAGAGGGATCGGGTATAGACATGAGCATGATGTGTGGTGTCACTTTGACCTCCCTCTTGGTGCTGCCACAGTGCACGCAGCTCGCCATCACTCTGTCTCATACCTGTGCAGCACGTCCCTCCCATCATCTTCTTCTCACTGTTCTCTTGTGTCCTCTGTCAAACATCTATTGGTGTGAATCACCTTTTTTGTTGTTGTTGTTGTTGTCTTTGTTCAGCTCTCAGAATCCACAACCACACTGTGCTCCCTTCTTCCCATAACTCTTCCTATGTGCATACCAATGACTCTGCCTACACTAACATTTCTGCGACAGTAGGTGAGGATCCATCACTTCCCTCTCACTAAATTCACGTATCATACACTGCTCCCTTTTGTCCTCTTTGTATCACCACATGGTTGAGCTGTGCATTTCACATCTATCACCCTTCAATCTTTTATCTGTGGCACACAAAATAAGGAATTCTTTCTTTTAGATATCACTCTGTACAATTAATTGAACCTGAATCGCAAATTATTATTTTCATTGATATTTTCACTGATTAACAGAATCCCGAGAATGCCAGAACAGTGCAATATTTTGGTTCTTAAAGCAAGGGGAGATTTGGAAAAGTTGTATATTGGACTCTAAACTGACTTCTAAACTCTCCGTTTCCAAACCAATTTATAACTGTGAATTGTGAAACTCTGCAGACATTGTTGAAGGAATGGTCAACAAGGGGATCTTTCTGAGTGGCGACAACGGCGGCACCTTTCTCCACTTTGGAAGCTACCAGAATTCTTGCATTAGTGATCCTACGCTGTGTGGTCCGGAGGGTGAGCGCGGTGCCATCTGTGTACTACTACTTGGCAAACACACAATCTTGAAAGTTTACAAAACAATTTTCTTATCCTTCAGGCATTACCTTTTCCTTTTTTTGGAAAAACCATGAATCAGAGTCCCGTTTTGCCGTGGCTTCTGGGGGAAAGGTTATCTCCAATGGCTTCTCGGTCTACACCAACCCTTTCACGGGGTTCGTGGAGTTTTATACCCGAGGCAACAACCACAGATGGAAAGCTGATATAAAGGTTCCAGGTACTGTGAATGTTTTTTTTTTGTCAGACTGTATTTAAAAATGACATGGTGATCCAAAACTAAAATCATCCGGGGCCATTTTTGTAAACTTTAACCTATGTAAATGTTTTACTGTTAGGCTAAGTGACACCAGATGTGTTCACAGATGAATTGGGAAATGGGGAATACATTTCGCAAACATTGTTGTGCTTCACAAAACATACATGTATGTTGGAGATGTGATCATTTTGTTTTCTTTTGAAAAAAGTCGACACTTTGGCTTGGGCAGGGTAGACTGCCAAAACAGGAAAGAGGTAAAGCTGTGACAGATCGTTTGAAATCTTTTTTTGGGAAAAAGTGGGTTTTTTGAAAAGATTAAATGATCTGCTAAACTGTTTTGACACATTTTGTTAAACTGTGTGAGGTTCAACATGACGTGAAGCTTTTTACCAATCAGTGCTTCCTTCTCAAGTGACTTCTGTCATCTTTGTTTTTTGGGTGAATACTTGAGGTTGCGTTCAAGGGCGTCATAACTCAATTTGGATTTGAGTGCTCAATTCCAGAGGATCACATGTCATCTGGATCTCACACAGTGTGACATGTCAGACCTTTAGGACAGAAAGTCTAAATCTGACTGCTCTCCTTCCTTCACTTAACAAGTGTGAGGAAACTTTTCCAATCCGATTGAATGGCCTTTGAGGTGTTGTGAAACCGCCTGTTTAAGAATGTTACTCTTGTCTCAAAGCATTTTCAGAGTGCGAAGAAGTGAATTAATTGAAACATTGTGGAGGTCTTGGCACATATGGTTCACATTGTGACCCTCAAATGAAAATTTAGATTGTTGCTCTCTTCTGGCAGATGTGTTTTCAGACAGTGAATGTATTGTTTTCTGGAACCTCCACAGTGTCATTTTATCTTCTTTGTCTTCAGAAATCCTTCTGTAAGATAAAAGTGCCCGATACAGAGTTATGACCAAATGTAGAGTGGGAAAGAAAATGTTTGAACAGTTGATAACTTCAAATAGAAAATTAATCTACAACAAAACATTTTGACCTCCATCTAAGTCTAGATCTTTTTGTTTCAGTTTATACAATGTTCTAATAACTTTTTTCCAGTAAATATTAGCCTGAAAACAATCAAATTTAACTGGCATCACAGACTGCATATGTATAAAAATGGATGAGGTCACTGAATACATTCTGATATTTTGGATAATATATCTTGAAAACTACAAATGTCATTTTTATTGAAACGATTCAAAGTTACCTCAGTGTGTTGTATGCTTAGACATCAGTGCCAGCTTATGAGGACTGCTCTCCTTTCTCTTCATTTGAGAGTATTTTTACTTGGTTAGATTTAGCTTTGTCTGGCTGAAGTGAGTATATAATGGAGTAGAAAAGAAACTGAGAAAAATCTGCAAATGAACGCATTGGTATTGAGTCAAAATCTGCTCCATTGCTAAATCCAGCTCCCTTTTTAGCCCATTTATTAAAGTAAATGGTTTATAGTAGATTCAGTGTCTATTACCTATAAGAAAGGTGTCTTTTGAGGTTCAGACTAATCAAAATAAGCTTTTTCTTTTACAGTAATTTGAAAGAAATGACTGTTGTAGAGTTATTTTGGTCAGAAATGCAATGATATATGATTTAGAGGCTAATCCCACATTTATGAGTAAAGAAACTTGGTCCCACAGTTTGAGTTCAGTGTCTGCGCATACAAAAGACAAGCCCAGAGGGAGGGAGAACAAAATATGGCTTTCAAACAAACCGACATGAGATGTGACATTTGCTTTCTCTATAAAGCGGCTCAGAGTCATGCCATTTCTGATGAGAACAATTAAAGATCACTTCCAGCAAAGAGACGGATCCTGTCACTGTGGGACAATATTTAGTAAATATTAGTTAACCTCTTCCTTCCAATTTAGTTAGAATTTACTGCTATTTTTCTATTGGAAAAAAGGTTATTTTCTAGGTCTTTAGCTTCCTGGTGACAGTTTCAGAACACACTATCAGCGATCATATATTGCTAACAGAAGTTAGCTGGTTTTGTCTAGTATCCAGCTGCTAGTTTAGGGATTAATGCTCACCTTTATTCTGCTGGAACCAGGAACAGTGCAGCAGTAAAAATAAAATAGCATACAGTTATTACATATCTGACGGAGAATTTCTCCCATTGAGTGTTCATCTCAGTGACAATTCTTCATATTTAGAAATATCAAATTGATCAAATGTACAATGTTTCTTAAAACTGGTGTGGCTTTGTGCAAACTTCCGTTGAAGCTGACCACTTTTCTAAACTGTGTAGTTTTTTTAAAACCTGAAATCCATCATTGAAGATTATTTGTGTAGTCATTTGGTTTGCCTTTTTTGTTTTCTTCTATTAGGGCCTTACTGGACGCATATTCTCTTCACATGGACCAAGACGGATGGTCTGAAAGTTTACATTAACGGGACCTTCTGTGCCGGTGACCCAGTAGGCAGTGTCTCTGAGAACTATGGAGACCAACATCCTGATCTGGTCATTGGAACAGGAAACAACAGGGCATATGGTCACTATGTAACTGGGGCCTTTGATGAATTTGTCATTTGGAAAAGGGCTCTTTCACCTCACCAGATCCTGCTCTACTACAATGCAGCCATAGGTAGGACATCTTGCTCTCTTGGAAATAACTTCCTGTCATTCTAGCTCATGGCACAACTATTAAAATTCCTCCTCCGCTTGCACTGTCAGGAAACGGGTTAAAAAGCAATTTCCGTCCTGCTCCTTGCCACATTCCATCCATGGCATTAATACATCCCAATAAGATATTAACCCGCATGAATATACCCCCACCTCCACTCTTCCATTGGATATTAGGTGCAATGGCTCAAATAGCCCCTGCCTTATTAAGCCTTGCTTAAGTATTTATACATCTGTAGAGGCATGCTGAGTTGCAGGGGGCAGATCATTTTAGATTTAATGTGACAAGTTGCAGCATGCAAGGACAAAACCTCCACACTCTTAACTGCTTCACTGTCTACTTTCTATGCTCAGCATTGTACCATAAATGGAGATAAAGTTGACATTAACAAAAATGTAACACATTTTGATTTTTTTGCATCGGGCTTAGTAATGCCGAAAATAAATAACATTTTCAATCATACCGTTTAGATGAATACCATATAGTTGTGTATAAACCCTATCAACTTCTCAGGGTGAATGATTGTTCACGTTGTTCATGTATCTGAACTGTTACTGCAAAAGTTTTTTTTTCTCTGGTTGCCGTACACGCAGCATTTCTTGAGTGCGCGGAGCGGTTTCCTCACTGAAGTTATCACCAAAAGCAATACATTTTAAAGACCACTTCAAGACACGAAGAGCCTGACTGTTATGGTTACGGAGAACTATTTTTACTTCTCGGGAGCACTCCTATAAAATCTTACATTGAACCTGAGTGCAGGAATGGCTGAGACTGATATCTTGAATGTATGTCCATATACGGCTATATCCTGGAAGCCAATCAGAGCTGCTTTTATTTGATAATAGCAAAGACTTAAAATGCATAGAAGAGTCTTACAGTTGTTTGTTGCTGTTGGTTGTGTGGTTGAGAGTCCATGTTTTGTGCATATAGAAATTCATCTTCTTTCATGGCTAGGGATGGCTACCTCAAAACTGTCCTCTGTATTCTCTTTTATAGGTCAGGAAATCGTTTCTGCCACAACCCCAGGAGACTCCAAAGAAATCACTTCCCCCGCACCAACAGCTGTGAGTAAAACGCTGACACTGCTGGGTACAGATGCCAATCAAATCTGATAGCTAAATATATCCTTATACAACACGTCTGAACTATCCAGATTTGAATCTCAAATGTAGCAACCACAGAGGAATGCTATGAAAAAATGATCGGACAGGTTTTTAGGACAAATTAGGCAGCGAAACTGCAAAGAAAATAAGATGCTCAAATCAACACGAGCAGATCGTTTCTCATTACGACATGGTTTGTTTTTGCTCTGTCATCAGAGGTAGATTGAAAAAACATGTTTATCAGTGGATACCGAAGGTAGATAACTGGTCAGGAAATGGATGACTGTGAAGACAGCTGAAACAACACACAAAGAAATGCCTCCCTGTAACACACCTCAGTAGAAAATAGCTACGCTGAATCACTTGTCCATTAGTTACTAAACATCCTGTGTATGTTGGAACTCGGTGTTCCTTTGGAAATCGCAGCCCGTCTGTAAACTTAATTCAGTGCCTGATGTGCTGTCTCCCCAGAGAGTCCCTGAAGTCAGCACTGTTGTCATGAGCAGTCATCAAGAGGCAGCCCAAAGCTCCCAGGGTCCTGACACCATGCTGGACTTCCTCGAGGCACTGCCCAACCGGACCATTCCTCACTCCACCGCCAACAACCTCACGCAGGTCTCGGAGCACAGCGCAACACATGCATTACAGTTGCACAATCAGTTCACACACAATCACAATGGCCACCCATGTGCACATGATGCAACAGTTCCATGATGTCCATTTTCTTCCACCCAGGCCTTTCTCAAAAGTGTGGAAGAAGTGCTGTCCTCTCCAGGATTGCCAGAGGTAAATGAGGTCACACAGTTGTTGTGCAATATCCGCACATAACATATGTAGTCTGGCAACTACTCAAAGTTAAAGCACTTAAGTGGACCATGCGATTTTAACACTGCATATTTTTAGCACAAGTGTTACCAGTAAAAGTAAGAGTGCCTGGCACCATGCCCACTTCTTCTAACAATATCCAGTTAACTATAGTCGGATGTTTCACATGGACTTGAGCACTGATTGTGTTTTCTATAACACAATAACTCCAATGTATAAGAGTAGTTTCCTGTGCTCCAAAATCGTTTGGGTCAAATCCCCGCGCGCTCATGTTCGAACACGTGTGAGGTTTTCAGCGCAAAGGGTGCTCACTTATTTTTGTAGGAGCAAGCTGAAACAGATGTTCTTGTCAAACAGGAATTTTGATACAATATCCGAGAAGCACAATAAAATCATTAGATATCTATATGGTGTGTTTTTGTCACCCTGCATTTTGGAAACCTTTTTTTTGAAGATTTTTGCGTATAATAAACGTTAAACAAAACTTAAAAGTAAAATGCATAATTGCTCTGTTCGGTGGAGATTTTGTTGTTACAGTTCACTATGACTTTTCTGCCTCTCTGTATATTCTTTAATAAATAATCCGTAGCTTAATTATTCTTTATTCATTAATGAATAAATCAATAATAACACATTTGCACAACTTAGGATCACTGTGACAAACTGAAAAAGTCACTGAGAATTAATAAACGTCCTGTGATTTATATTTTTCTTCCTGTTGTGGCGTGATACGCCTCATCTTATTAAGTATTAAGTGAATCATCAGTTAGTCAGTGTCTTGTGGTTATGATTTAGGTTAGAATTTAGTCAAATCTATATTTTTATATTTTTCAACCTCCCTCATTAAGTTAAGTTGAAACAACCTTGGTGAAGTTTCTCCATGTTTTTGCGGTAAATGTTGACAAATTGGGGAGAGAGGTTCCCCACTGACAAAAAGTTGTTTATTATGATTAAAGCAACCTGGACGCAAAGGGTGAGGGTTGAATCTAATTTGAGACAAGTTACTCTCTCTGTGACACCATTTATCTAACTCTGAGCAGCAGCCTTTGTGAGCATTTAATTTGATTTGTTTTTGAGCAGCAGTCCAATCCTCTGGTCAGCGGTTTGATTGAGACAGTGGACAGAGTGATGGAACATATGGTGACTAACCTGGAGCCCAGTCCGAGCGTCCCCATCTCAGTGGGTGGGACAACTTTTGTTGCAGGTCAGAAAGGATTGGGTTGTTTTTTTTTAGATTTTTTGTTCTCCTTTCTCCTTATATATGCAATGAGTTGTTCTCATTGTTTCTCTGTGTTTTCTTGTTTTTTCCACAACTGTTCTTCATGTTTCTGCAGATTACGCTCTGTTGAAATTCCCACAGAATTTCAATCTGCCACTTTACCGTTTTCCTACACAAGGCAAGAACTACATCTCTGTGCCTGGGGAGGCCTTCAACATGCAGTGTAAGTGCAGATATTACAACCCGCTCATCTTTAATTCACTTTGTGAGTTACGAGGCTTCCAGTCCTCTCTGTTCTCCGAACAGACAACAGTAGCTGGGTTGGGGATACTGAACATTAGTCGTACACTTAATCTGCCAAAAGAAAATTGTCCAGCTGGGAGGCTCTTGTTGTGGGCCTCTAATTTATTATGCTCAGATTTAACAGCGCTAACAGAGCATACACCATAGGACAGGAGTAGTCTGGAGACTTTTGTGTGCCTTTATGGCGTAGAGTAGAAATCTAGCTTTGACTTTAATGTTGGCTGCTGTTCGCATTTTATTTAAAACAGAAACAATGAGAGAGTGATCTTTTTTCCACTTTCTTCCATCATTAAACGAATGGACCTACACAGCAGAGTGAAGGAGAGTAATAATCACAGTGGGCATTAAAACACTGTTTGTGCTCAGGACATTTTCCCTTGGCTCCACCTGGCATCTCTGCACATTGTTTTGCCATACAAACTGATTTAATAATTAATTTAAGGACCATTATCAGAAGTGGAATAGATGTTACTGCCTGACACAGTAGAGCCAGTTCCAAATGAACTCATAGCTCTGAATACCTGGCCATACAAAGCGCTCTCAGGCCACGTTTTATATCCTAATTAAGTTCAGAGAATACAACACATTAGTGTGTTCAGGTTTTTTTTTTTTCCTATTCTCAATTTTTCTTGGGAGAGATGAAAAAGCAAACTGACCACAGCACGATGGTTTGTGAGAGTTGCTGGGAGGCCCTGTGTTGGAATAACATTTCTACGAGCATATTTGTTTGACTTCAGCTAGCTTTTGTTGTCCAGTCAGCAGGTCTAGGGCGGGCGGCCTTTGAACAGAGGAATAGGCCCATTAAGGGTTTCCTCCAATTTCATTGTTTATCTTGCTGTATTGAAGTGGGACCGAGCGGAGTGATAGGTCACATCAGGGGAGGAGGTCCAGACGTCCTGTTCTCTCGGTGAAGTCATGTAGTGGTTTCATAAACCTTCCCAGCATTCACACAGTTTTTTGGCACTCTCGCTTTCACCCTTGTGCGAGTATATGGCTGTCCTATTAGCCAACCGGTGCTGGAGCGCGGTGGCACGGCCGCGTTAATGAACTCCCTTCTGTGTGAGCATTTTTGCAGTGCTGCTAGAAATTCCCCTTGCACTCAGCCTCTGTATGTTTCCCTTCTTTTCCCCAGCTCAAACCACCATTGTCGGCCTATTCTACCATGACATGCATAAGTACTACAAAGAGATCAGCCCTGCCAAAACCAGGTAAGACAACAGGACATCTATAGCCTATATATATATATATATATATATATATATATATATATATATTTTACTCATGCTTTTAAGCTAAAAACAGGCCCCTCTGTTTGTACTACTGTGTGGGGAATGAGGTCTGCTGGTGCTAAGATGCCCAAGCTTCCTGAACCACAGAACTGCTGAAGTCTGGAGCCAAGCTTATCTGTTCTTTCAGCCTATCTCTCATCTCACCACTCAACCTCCAGTGACTGATACACCCTGCAATTAACTCTACGTATCTATCCCCCAGCTGCCCACCCCTTCAGTTATTGTCTCATCACCCGGATCAGTTTGTTCCAGCTACGCTGCAATGTTTATGTTTATCAAACACGATATATTTGGAATTAAGCAACCTGTTTTCCCCACTTCATTCTTCATCGGAATGAAAGCGCCAAAGATTAAATATATGGGAGCGCATTTGCAGATGTTCGTGACTGACTGTCAGGCTCGGCCGTGGTTGAGGAGGTTCCTTTGTAGCATGAAAGAGTTGATATTTGTGTGATCCCGATGTCACATATCAGATGATCTTGAAAAGCTGCTGGTGCTATACTGCAGGTTGTCAGTGTGATTCATTAAATAGACTGATGGTCAAAGTCCCGTCTAAATGCGACCGCTCTGGTCTTGTGTGTAACACTCATGTGTTGATGTGAGGGCTATATAAAAACAGCAATAAATGCTATCATATGATATTTTATGAAAGTATGCTCTGTTGCAAAACAAGTGGGAATGCTGTGTAAAAAGCCGTTCCCAATAAAATGCCATGGTCTGCTTATTCTTTAAACTTTACATTTAATGAAGAGTAACACAAACACAGCTGATTTAATTGGGATTTTGAATATGATTACTGATTAAAATAAGTTGTTTAATTATGTAGTGCTGAGAAAACACCTGTTGGAGCAGTGCATAACTAATAAAACACAATTGGAGCACCCTGAAAAGGCTGGTGGTGGAAATCACTACTTTGTGAAAGACTGGGTGGGAAATTCTTTAACAATTTGAGAACATCTTCCATAATGCAAAAATGTCTCTGAATCTCAACATCTGTTGTATGTTAGGCTATCAAAAAAGTCCTTAAAAGTTTCAAAGAATTGAGAAATAAAGAGATAAATGCATATCAGGGACTGGGCTGGGGACAGCGTGTGATCTTAGGTCCTTTAGGGGCAATGCCATAAAAGCAGGCTCGTCTTTGCAGTTTAGAATCACTTCATGGGCACAGTAGGATTTCTGAAAACCAGCATAGCTTAGTACAGTTTATAGATTTAAAAAAGCTAAACTTCAATGAAAAATTCATAAACAGATAAATGAGATCCAGAACTGGAGCTGCCTCCTCAGACCCTGAGCTCATTTAAGACGGCCTGAGTCAAATTAGAGAAGACTTGTTGAACAAATCGAAATGTGAGTTTTATTGAAAGTTGATCATTAAAATTAATTCAGAAGAGTTGCCTGAGGGATACTCAAATTATGCTCTGGGAATATTTTACAATATCTAGATTACAGAAGCCGTTTTTTTAATTATGTAATGTTTTGACTAATTTTCCTCTTTTTTCTCTCTCTTTCTTTTGTATTTATTATACTGTAATCTAACTGCAATTTCTTTCGGTCGTGTCGGCCATTTCCTAAAACTGCTCTCCCTCTTCATCTTTTAGGATTAATGAGGCAGCTGAGTTCAAGGATCACAAGATACAAGTAGCAAGCTGCCTTATTTCTCTGAAAGTGGAGCCATCACCAGCTTTGTCAGTAAACCTCTCTGGAGCTCCACTCATCAAGATTGTCCTCAGCCACGTCTTGGTAAGAACAAATGCATTCAAACTCCCAGATTCTTCTTACTTGACTCATGTCTTTTAGCCAGTCATTTACACCCTCCGTGAATTAGCGATACAGAGACAATGGAGTGCTTTTCTCGTTGGCAAATGCATCCGTTGGCTCCAGGACAGTCTCCTTATCAAAGGAAAGATAGCTGGCTCCCTCTCCTACCCCTTTCATATAAAGTCTTTCAGCTCTATTTGCAGTCCTCTCTTATGTGAGAAGATGGGTGACTGTCACTGGCCGAGGCTTGTGCAGATGGGCGTTCAACAGCAGAAAGAGTGAGGCCTATTTTGGTTTTCATTAGGCTGCTTAGAATTTCCCTCACAGAGCATGTGGCGTCCAGAAAGCAAACTGATTATGGACATTTGAATTGCAAGCTCAGGGCGCTTTGAAAGGAACAATAACTTTCTTTTATGAACAACATATTCTTTTCGTTTGGAGCTTTATGGAAGGGACTCTGCCAGCTTTCCATGTGAAATGTTTTGAAAGCGGGGATGAAAATTCACTTTAAAGTGTGCATTGAGTTGGTTCTCATCCCTGTTAAGTTGAAATATGCAGTGGTGATCATCTTAGCAGTGTGGTCAGGTGTGTCAATAGAAGTTTGGCTATCAGACAGGAACATTGACAAACCAGTCAACAAAACCAGTTGACCAGACCACCAACGCCACCTCCTCCACCCCACGCCCAAAGCTGTTTGATTTTAAATGTCCCAGTAGAATTACTCACATTCAACTGAATAGAATTACCAATATGTATATTTTTTCTTTACTCGTAAATAGAAACTCGTGCAGCATCATGAGCTCATGGCAGCGTTGCTTTGTTACCCTTCATTTTCCCTAGTGAAATAAATATTTATGCTGTAATTGTCTGGCCGGGTTTCTTTTGGAATGATTACTTTGTTTGTTTTAGCAGACACCATGGGAGAGGTTTTTACTATCTCCTTTGTTATGGAAGTGCAAGTGATGCTCACCAGTTCTGCTGTCTGTTGAGCCAAGGTATTTCTATTTTAGTTAGATTTCCTTTACATCAGATGCAAGGAAAATATGGTTTCTTGCATTCTCTCCACTCTACCCCATTAAAAATAGCTCTTATACTTCTTGTGAATGCTTGCTGGCTGGAACGTGCTGGGCCCATTTCAACACATTTTAACCTAACACGGCCTAAACGATGATTTATAATGAGGAGCTGCATTCTAATTTGGCACGGAGCACTTTTGGCTTGTACCATGCCTAAAAACGGGCTGTTCTGCTATTGCGGGTTTTTCTGCTCAGACCTGTGGTCAGATTTTGTCTAAAAACAGACTATTTTTGGAGCTTTAACATCCTTGGCCGTCAGTGGATACTTATCACCTTCCTAGCTTGAAAGCTAGGGGGGAGCAGCTGGCACAGTATGTGGCCGTCTCAGTTTATGGAGCTCTTTATGATCTGCGTTAGCTAGCTTAACCTCAGAGATCTCCTCTTATGGCAAGTCATCCCGAAGTTGAAAGTGTCCCCTCGCTGCCCGGTCCCCACGTGCTGTCATGGCTTTTCTTCTTGTGGGCATCTTTGGCACCATACAAACAGCCAATTATTGGATAATATCCAAATCTCTTCAGTCTTCGTTATCTGACACTTGTGTTGATAAGACATACCAGACCACTGATTGATGGGGTCACTAGGCAGTAAGCAGCCTTTTGTAATGGCAGGTAGAGCTGATTAAAGCCCAGGTCAGAGCCGTGTGGTGGATGTCAGAGTGACCCTGCAGTCTTGATTGATGCCCGTAGAGCTAAGAGAAACAGCCCTGTGAGCTCATGCCATTCCCATCTGACTCAGTCAGAAGCAAGGTGCCGCCATCGCTCTTTTCGTGGTATGAAGTGGGTTTCGTGCTCTGACTAGGTGATACCGAAACTGCTCAGGCCCACACGCTTTCTCACGCCATTCAGCTGTGGTGTTGATTGGAATTTGGCTCATTCTGTGATTTATTGCTGCTTTTCTGACTCTGGTTTAGTTTGCAAGGTATGAAGCAGTGAGTGGAAGACAGAGGGTGGGAGGCACTGGGGTCCGTAGTTAAACATTAATACATACATATAAAGGCCAACAGTACCTCTGTGTCCTCTTCTTCCATCACACTGATGGTATGAAGTGAATGAATGGAAAGATTGATTTCATGAGCAAAGTCAATTTATAGGGTCAAAACTGGGAGGATTTAAAAAACAGATTTTGCCAGGGGTGCTTGGCTTTACAGGGTTATAAAGATGAGTGTTAGCTTTGCCACTCCATGCGAGTGTCCAGGGTGATAGATGGAAGAGTATGGCAGGAAGAAATGGTGGTCTCTATCCCTATGCACTACTTCATTTATTTGGAATGTGACATACAAATTAGAAACTTCATAGAAAACCTTCAACATTGTATTATTTGCTTTCTGGCAGGAACAAGATCAAACACAGTATTTTATATTTTTTGTCTATGATTTGATATAAGAACTTGTCAGCTAAAGCTTTGAAAATAGAATGGAAACAGAGTGAAATAGTAAGCGTAGCTCTCACCAAATCAGAATCAGAATCAGAATCAGAAATACTTTAATAATCCCAGAGGGAAACAAAGCAAACAAAACTAAGCTCATCAAATAACTCCTCCAATGCATACATTATCTTGGTTTCCGTTGCTGTTTTTTCTACAGGTAGAAGATATTAGTAGGAAAACATGAGGGAAATTGGTAAAAAATAGAAAAAGAAAGAAATAGAGTGGAAAATCTCACTGTGACTCTGAAAACTGTATTTGCCCACTGATGATGGATTTGATCTAAATCATGAAAGACTTATTTTAGGGAGTAGAAACAATTCTGTAAATAGTATCTGACCTGATGAATATTAAAACGGTGTGACTCACCAGCTGTTTCTAGTCTGAGTCAGCAATACACTAAAGTGAATACTGTCTTCCTAGAAATGATTTAATATCACAGATATTCCTTGGGATGAAAGTCAATTTGATCAATTTTATCCTTGTGGATGCCCACCACAGTTTTGTTGTTTTTTTCTCTTGAGGTTTGTTTCCTGTTGATACATCTTTACATACTGAAGAACATTAAAGTAAATAAAGTAGCATATACTTCTGGTGACCACATGAAAACATTTTTTTCTCAAACTTCATCAAAAACCTTTAATTTGTCTCCAGACTAGTTACAGCTTCCTATGCACGTTGAATGATAGATTGATTACTCAGTAACTTGAATAAACATAGAAAAGTTATTCAATACTTTATGATAACCATACTTACTCGCTTAATCATAAAAGCCACTGATGCTATCAGTCTTTTTTCTCACAATGGGGCCTTGCTTTATTGCCAGTCTTTTTATAGCTCTTAGCAAACACCCAGTTTGAACCTAGTGGGCAAAGACTCTCCTTCCTCTCTCTCCCTGCCACCCACACCAGGCCATACACCAACAAATACTTATAAACACAGGCCGTGTGAGCCAACACGCTGATCAATCACAGATGGAGGTCTGGTCATTGCTATTACTCACTTGGCAAAAGATGGAAGTACTCACGTCACAACTCCTCCCATACAGTACCCTCCTCCCTGTCACTGCTCCAACGCTGCAAACATCAGCTCTGGCTGCGTGCTGAACATAAGCAGAGCTGTGTACTCTGACAGCAGGCATTTTCTGTGTGGCCAAAAACACTTTGAACTCGCAAAATGATTTTATCAAGGAAATTTCTGCGCTCACACGTCAGCTTTTGTAGAGCCGTCGCAAAGTGCTGCACAAAAAAAATAACGCTGTTTGCAACAGATTTGTAATAGTGGAAAAACAATCACATCATGGTGGAGACCGATTATCAAAGGACTTTAATTTTTCCTTAGAACTCTTCATATTTTTGTTTTATTCTCTGTAGAATCACCAGATTGACAATTGATAATTAATCATCTTATTTTATTGATAAGTATGGATTATTCATTTAAATGAATAAGATCTTTCTTAAAATTATATCACTTGTTACTCTCGTCAGTGCTGTTTTTGTGCTATGATGTGTTCACTGCAAGGATATTAATGTTCCAACAGTTTTAATAATCAAATAAATATTCAATGGGTGCTAATTAGGAGAAAACCTTTCTTGAACAGTCAGGATAGGTTCTGATTTAAAAGAAGAGTCGATGGTGAATATGAAGCTGCCGTTGTCTTCTAACAGAACAGAAATTTTTTGGTTCTGAAGATATCTTGGCGCCGAAAATGGCTGCCTCGGTGCTTTCACCAAAGCAAATTCCTTGTATGTGTAAACCTACTTGGCAAAAAACCTAATTCTGATTCTGATTCTGATTCTGAAATAGTCTCACAACACAAGTACTCAACAAAACAAAAGCACACATGAGTTTGTGCGTGACCATGTCTTTGTCAGGTGTGCTCTCCTTTAAAGTTTTTTTTTCCCGTGAACTCTCACCAATCACCTTGTTAAAATCCCTCTGTAACTTCTGGGGTTGTTTAATTGTCCCCAGTTTGCCTCACACCCTACCCGACTATCAACACATCTCGCCGTTTTCGGTGTCCAACTCTGAGATTGAGCTGAGACCACAGCTGCATGTCTTTTTACATGTCCCCTGACAGAATGATCTCACTCATAGCCCGTTGTGTTTTGGGGTTCAGATTTCTACTCTGCATGGTGTATATGGATAAGCTTCTCACCCGCCTCTGATTGAAAAGTTCTGTTAACAACTCAAAGATCTTAGCTCACAAAGAGTCTCAGGCTGTGAGAAGCTATAGTTTGCATAACCTCAGAGTCTGTCAATGGGCTTTTTCTTCCTTAAGCAGAGGTCAGGTTTGGTGCTTTGGTTGTTTTTTTATTCTTTCCTTTTTAGTTTTTGTTTTTCTAAAGCATGCTGGACTGAGTACCGCCACCCTATACCTCTGTGTTCCCTCTCCAGATGTGCTTCTTGCTCTGACTAAATTCATAATCACACTTTCTGTAGCTTATGGCCTCTCCACTGTTGGATCATCTTAGCTATTGTCAAGCCATGGCAACATCTAAACTAACATTTCTTTTAACGCCTCCTGTACACTACGCAGCAGGAGGTGGTAGTAACTTTGAATGTTTCATTGTTGTGTAACTTTTGTTTGAAGGGTCTCTGTTTTAAACTGCCACAGAGTTCACATCTATACCAAATGCAACAGATCAAAATTACAACTTGGCTCCATTGTTCTGGAAACATTTAGAAAATTTGATGGAAAAGGAGAAAATATTTCCTTTCACACCGTGTTTCTTTTTTTTCCTTTAAGTTTAAGCTCAAACCAAGCCTTTTTTAGACTTATTTGTACCTAAAATGAGTCTGATTAATGCTAGTTCTACAGGTCAGTTTTCTTTTAAAGATCGAGGCCAAAAATGATTTTTCTATTTTCTTAATATTTGACATTCTTTCAATAAGATCAAACACCAGACCTAATTTCCCTTTTTAAAAAAAATGTTCTCAACTTCTCAACAGCCTACTTCCATGGCATATAAACTAGCTCATTATTGCTGTCCGCAAAGCTGATTACATTGATGACTGATTACATAGAGAAAATATGTGTGTGCATATCAAGTCTTTGGAGGGGATTTCAACCATAAAAACCATGTCTGTTCTTATTTGGCTATTGAAGTCAAGATGATGGGCGGTATGTAACTTTTCCAGCTTTGTTCAATTAGCACCTCACTGTCAAACAAGCTGTTGATTTCACCTTACCTTGAGTTTGGAGTTAAAGTTTTAAAAGTAGAGACTTCATATCACTTTGTGAGGCATGAGCATGTTTATTATTTTTTTATTTACCTTTTGAGAAAAACTGGTAACCTCTCCATCATGTAAAATATGCCTAACAGTACCTGGAAATGGCCCTAGTCCACCCTGTCCCTGTTGGACACATAGTGTCCTACTATAGAGTCTACATCTCATGATTTGTCACTTAACAAAAAGTTATGTGTACATAATTAATTAATGAATTAGAAAGGGTTCAATACAGGGCACATACTTGCTGTTGAATATTACACCTTGAAATTCAATGAAAAGGAAGCTCTTTCATGACACGATAGCTCTTTGTTTATTCATATTTTCAGTATTAGTTAACTCCACCGCTTTAAAAACCTAGTGGCTACTGTAAAAGCGCAGTAAAATGACAACTACACCAAATAGGGAGGCAAAGAGGCCTGATTATCTATGAATTATCAGCATCTGTCCTGAGAGCTCTTCTCATCTATCAGCCTGCCACTTGCCCGTTGCTTGCTTTCACTCTTTTTTCATCCGTTTTGGTAAATCCCCTTTTGGGTCTAAGAGTGATTTCCAGGGTGCCGTTTGATAGCTGATTCTGTCATAAATAAAGAGCTTGAACGCCAGCTACAGTCTTGGTTCGTGGATTCTGAGACCTCAGACACAGACAGAAAGCCTGGACAGAAGCATACTGTCCAGGCTTTCCTAGATCTCAAAATGCACCCAAACAGTCACAAGTGAACACGAACAAGGAAACCGGAAAATGCAGTCCGGATTTACAAATGCTAGAAAAAAAAGCCTGGCCTTATATTTGCAATGATTTGTTAGGCAACATATACAGTATGTCAGATAGTGCCTGTTATTCAGCAATTTATAATGATGGACTGTGTTTAAACATTTTAACTTTATATGGATAAATATGCCTCGTTCCTTGGATGCAAAAATAGAGTTTCAGTGAGAGCAAATATGACAGTGAGTTACAAGTCATATATGGTGCCAGCTGCACTTTGTCTCTCCACCATCTGCTTTCATTTACACCCTACAAGAAAGTGAGTAATTAAAGCCCACAGGGGACAAGTTAATTCACTCACAGGTTTGATTGCAGTTCCCAAAAGCAAGACAGCAGCTGGAGATGATGGGGTGCATTTAAGGCACTCTCATGGCTCCTGGACCCATATTCATGAATATTCAAAAGGGGCACATGAATATCTGTCCATTGCATTCATCTCAAGTGTCTCGGCATGTGATGAAAAAAGAGCTGCATGTGTGAAACAGACAGAATGAGAGCAGGAATACGACTACGCAACAAAGTCAAGGTATTGTGCTATCCTTTGTAATACAAATCTCAGAAGCTAATGGCCAGGAAACAGACAGCTGGACTGTCATTTTCACTCACACTCTCACTTTTTCCAGAAGGAAATGGCGCAGACACGGTTCTTATAAGTTATACAGTCTGAGAGTCAAGGCTGATGGAATGCGAAGAGGTGTGCAGGCTCTCTCAGTATACATCCCGCAAACCAATGGAAGTGTTGTTTTCTTCAGATGACAGATTGAGGAGGGTAGTGGTTTGACCTGAAACTAGGGCCAAGCCCAAATTACTGCATTTTTGCACTGTAGCCATTAGGTCACCGTCTCTGGGGACTCTAAATCTCAAATTAAGGAGAGACATGGAAAAAATGATTTATAATCAAATAAGATCGTTGAGGACAAGAGGGATTTTCACTTAGCTGTAAAAATGTGAATTATTAGGTAGGCATTCTCTTTCTGCATGTTTCTCTTCTTTTACTAGCATTTAAACACCATGATTTTTATCACATGTTAAATCCACAAGGTCTAAAAGTAAGTTGTGCAGTATCTTTTTATAGCAAGTGCCTCTGTCGAACAACGAATACAATTGAAAGAGAAAGTTGGAAAAGTAGTTGTTAAAGAATTGCTCAGAGAATACTTTCAACTGCCGTAGCTATTGTTAGTTATTGCTTTTCTCTGGACTGAATAAAACTATCCCAATAGATTTCTCTGAGTATTAGGGCACTTTGGGTCATTCGATGTGCTGGTAAATATTGCTTTTCTTTTTCACACGCTGTTCTCTTACAGTTTTCAATTTAACTTCACTTCCCTTTTCTTTTATTCACAGAGTAAAGAGCAGCAGGATCAAGTGCTTAATCAGAGCAATAAAGTCTTTCTCTACTGTGCCTTTTTGGACTACAGGTGGGTCTGTGCTTATTGTTCAGAAACACAATGTGTCATTTAGATGTAGAGCCAAAGAGATTTTATCTTGATTGTTGGCTCTTTGCACCTCAGTTGTTCTCGTTTCCAAGGCTTTAAATTGTAAGAAAGAATGAGATATTGAGAAGAAACGTGTTTCGTTTTACTCAGACAAATCAATGGGCCAATGATACATGTGCCGCTGGATCCATTTAACCCTGAGAAACAACCCTCTGTGGAAATATGGTAGAAATCACTATTTAGAGGGCATGAATAATCTTGAAAGGGAGTCTGTTTTGGAGGGATTTAAAGGCTTCCTCCTTTCACTCCTCGTCCTAAAAACTCGTGAAAAATGTGAATTATTAGATTCCCCTGTCAGATCGTTCCGTCTCCTCTGAACACATGCCTCCCACAACAGATTGACTGATTCCTGCCAGAAGTGGTTATATAAGGACAGACATTTTTATTTCTACTTATTTAACATTCATTTTCCTTTTTTATTTTACTTATCAATCAGATTTACCAGGTGAATAAAACGTCACTGTTTTCCTTTTTAGCTCCAAAGATGGAGTATGGTCAAACGAAGGCTGCGTTCGCTCGGACGGAAACATGACATACTCTGTGTGTTTGTGCAACCACCTCACCAACTTTGCCATTCTTATGCAAGTGGTGCCGTTGAAGGTATGTCCTTTTGGCTGCACTTTGAAAATGCTCCAATGTCTTTTTTGAAAGAGCTAGTTCTGCCTTTGCGCTCATTTACCATCATCTCCTTGTGTCCTGTACCATTTTCTGAATAGTCCAGGCTTAAAAAATGCACAAAACTAAAGGGATGATAAGTGATCAACGTTTCGGCAAAAAATGTTTTTTTATTTAAAAGGTAACAACCAGAGACAGTTTGATGAAAAAAAGGTTTAATTATTTCATTTTTAGTTTGAAGGGTATTAAAACATGACAAAAGAAGCAGATGTTGCTGTTTTTTGCAGAAGAACAAAATATAGAACTGTTTTTCATTTTTTAATTCATTATCTTTGCTGCTGGCCAGGTCCAGACAGATCAGTTTCACTGGTGGTTTTACACTGAGCCATTGAGACAGCCACGATGAAATGATCCCTCTTCATGGGTTTATGGGCTTTTGGCCATGGCAAATCTCTCAAAGCTCTAAAATGTGTCCCTTTAAAAACCTCACAATAGTTTAAATTCATATCATCTACCATGTCGTGTGAAGCAACACTCCAAAGCCTGCAAATACTGTCTATAGCTTGGAACAAAGAAAATGTCCCTCTGGAGTTTAGTTGACATCCACAAAAGCTTCCTTAAATAGAAAAGTAGAGTTCTTGTTGCAGCTTAGTGAGCTGAAGTATATTTGATGCTATACTTTCTCACAGCAGGTCTCTAATTAGTGGGCTGCCTCATCCCCCGGTTGCAAGGGAACATCCCACGTCTCCCATTTCTGGAAGGCTGAGACTCTTCTGCCCTCATAATGACAAGGCACATGTGTAGACAGTTCATAGAGAATTTAAACCAGGTCCTGAAAATAGCTTCAACTCCAAAACAACATCCATCGCACATGGCCAGATTTCACAGATGCCTGCATGTGAAAAGTATAGTCCCTCTTGAGTTTCCTGTATAATGCTGATTTCCTTTATGCAGCTCCATTAAAAACAGCTGTGCACTGATCCTTTTGAAGAAAAACACATTAAACTATTAAAACAAAGAAATGTCGTGGAACACTCAAATACAGAACTACAACATCTGTGTTTTGTCATGTACTCTGTAGATCACAATTTTATGCTTGTTTACCATGGACAGTGGGCGCCTATGGAGAGTTTGCCTTGTTATCATCACCATACACTTACAGGCCCACTTTGATTTCACTGGATAATGAAGCAGGCTGAATGCAGCAAGCCGCATTATCTTTTTGTATGTTTGTGCAATGAGTGTGTGCCATTTCTGCGTAGTCACACTGTGTTGTTCCACATACAGCTCACGACCAGCCACAAGGTGGCACTGTCAACCATCGGCTATGTCGGGTGCTCAATTTCCATCTTCTGCCTTGCCATCACTCTGGTTACTTTTGCAGTCTTATCGTGAGTATTATCAGTCCATCACTGACATTTTGTAGAAACATTTAATTTTTTGTCAGTTTACCCTTTTTTTAAATGATAGAATAGATTCTATATTACATATTTACAGGAAGCTATTGTCTTTTTGCTTCTCTGCAGGTCAGTTAGTACCATCCGTAACCAACGCTACCACATCCACGCTAACCTGTCATTTGCCATTCTGGTGGCGGAGATTATACTGCTCATCAGTGCCCGCTTTGAACCTGCCACGGTTGGTACACTACAGGCCCTCCATCATTACAGGGGAGGATGGCAGTGATAGTTCACTGCATGAGAAGGACTAATCGTAACTGTATTGTTCTTGTTTATTGTAAAATCCATATTTAGATCAACAATGGTCAGAATGATATGCTCTGAAAATGTTGGATTCTTTGGATGACACTCAGTTGTGTGAAAAAGTGTTTTTTGATCCGGTTAATGTACTTCTGTCTTCATTCATTGGGTCTTTGTGTTTATTTCCCAGTCATCCTGTAAGGTTGTGGCTATCCTGCTTCACTTCTTCTTTCTGAGTGCCTTCGCCTGGATGCTGGTGGAGGGCCTCCATCTCTACAGTATGGTGGTAAAGGTGTTCGGCTCAGAAGGCAGCAAACACTTTTACTACTACGGCATTGGCTGGGGTATGTCAAGGCATCTGTCTTAGTTCTACAAAGTTTTACTTTTCTTCCTCATATGCCATCTTACTTCACAATTCTTTGTTGGATCCAATGCACCCCCTTCATTTTGTGTTAGGTCAAATAATGCCCATTCATAAGCAAGGAACTATGATACATTTCAAAGAAATTGTGCCGAGAACATGTTCTTTATAACATTTGCCTTTGTGATCTCAGTGAACTGGAGTTTGATGGACAGGCTAAATTGATTTGGGACAAACATACACTGTTTTTGGTTGCTGGGGAATACATAAACTTTCTTTTACATGTTGAACCCATTAATGCAAAATGATCCCCACTGTTTACGACTTCCTTTCCTCTCGCCAGTTATTTTTCATTTTATTCAGAAAGTAATGTGCTTGAGACCTTTTTTTAGCTGGAGGTATTGCTGTCATGCAAAAGTAATGAAACAAAGAAAGATCGTTTTTCAGAAATAATTGCATTTTCTATTAAGTTTTATGAAAGGTAAAACGTTCCTTGCCTTATAGAATTCTGGATCTAAAGACCGCTGTTCAGGGTAATCAGCAAGAACGATGACTAAAACCAGTACCCTGTCACTGGTAAATGCATTAGGCCTTGCTTTCATTAAAAGTATCCTGTGGAGTTTTAACCACAAACTCATGCAATTGAAAACTACAGAAGCTCAAATAGCGCATCTGTATATTCAAAAAGATGAAGTAAGAAATAATGCAAGGTATAGTTTACCACCAGACCCCACAACTCTCCAGAAAGTACGAATTCAGTCATGGCTACTGTTACTATGGTGAATTTGCAATTGTATCTTTGTGCCAGGTTCTCCATTTGTGATCTGCGTGGTGTCCATGACATCAGCCTTTCACAGTTACGGTGAAGTTGACAAGTGAGTATGACCTACACATAAGAGACTTTTTGGAATTCGCTGGGTTCCTTTAAAGTCCCTGCATAAGAATGACATCACCAGTGGTGGAAATTACAAACAACTGTGTTTAATGTTATTTAAAAGCTTTTAAGTCAATGTGTCACTTCTTATTTACATTAAACCATTATGGCCGTATTACTTGGATGGGAACAGGGTGATTTCTATTTTCTTGCTTTTACCTTTGCTGTTTCAGCTGCTGGTTGTCACTGGAGAAGGGAGCCATTTGGGCATTTGTGGCCCCTGCCCTTTTTGTCATTGTGGTGAGGCTCTTACCGGAGAGAAAACTAAACTTTCTGATATGTTAACTAATTCTCATTGTGACATGTATAAACAGTAAACTGTCCATTGAGGTAAGATAAACGCACGCAGATCCATTTAACCCCATTGTCTGATGAACAGGTGAATATCGGCATTCTGATATCTGTGACCAGGATCATATCTCGAATCAGTGGGGAGAATTACAAAGTTCATGGAGATGCCAACGCTGTCAAGTGAGTTTGTGTGGTTTTACAGTAAGATTCTTTTAATTAAAGAATGCAGTTGTTTAATGGTGGCTTGTGATTTAAAATTGGTTGTTGTCTGGTTTGTTTCCAGGCTGACGGTCAAAGCAGTGGCTGTGCTCCTGCCCATATTAGGCATTTCCTGGATCTTTGGTGTTCTCGCTGTCAACACAGCGTCTTTGCCATTCTTGTATATTTTTGCTGTCTTCAACTCATTACAAGTACGGTTTTCAGCAGAAATTTTCCTAAATATCTGTGGCTGCTGTGAAACGTTTGTTAAAAGTTGTTTTCCTTCTCCTCTTTAGGGGTTTTTCGTCTTCTTGTTTCACTGTCTCCTGAACTCTGAGGTACAGACCTAAAGGTTTAGCATGTGTGATTTGATTATTCATTCCTCACCACTAAGGTGTGCTCTTTTGCAACAATTCCATCTTAAACCTTGCTTTGCAAATATTTGCATGCCGTGTCTTTTTTCTCTAATCAAGGTCAGAGCTGCGTTCAAACACAAAACCAAGGTTTGGTCTCTTACCAGCAGCTCCATCCGACACATCAACGTTAAACCATTCCACTCCGATATTGTAAGTGCGGTTTTTAAAGCATTTGCTATGAGAATAAAGTGAGTTTAGTGCTTAAATGCCTTATTTTTTCTCTTCTTTTCCATCCTCTGACATAGATGAATGGACACAAGGAAGGAGTTACTCCCACCAAGATGAATACATGGGACAAAAGCACCAACTCAGCCAACCGTATGGACCTATCAGTCATGTAATAAGACAAATCAGCATTTATTCCTGTGATAAGAGAACAAGCTGGGGCTCAATCATCTGAAATAGCAAACGCAAACCAGTGTACTGTTCCGTCATGTTATATAATAGATTGATCAATCATAAACTTCAATGAAAGAGTTTTTCTTTGAAACAGTTTTTTTCTCTCAAAGACAATCAGACTCTTCAGACTGTGCTTCACTATTCTCCCAAAAGAACTATATATATGTTCCCAAAAAAAAGTATCAGTGATTGTTGAAGAGGAGTTTGGTGATATATGACGGAGATATCCACGAGAGTTGTTCAGGGTGTGTAAACACTTCCACTTGCTCAATATGACAACTTCCCTTTTAGTATCTACACACTATTTATACATACATCTGGCAACTGATTTGGGTTTCGCACCATCTTGTGGTGACACCATTTCACCAGTGACGAGTTATAATATCAATATGTGTACTGGCTGATCCAGTTTCATATGTTAATCAGATTAAAATTATATGTCATTGATCATCTAAAAAAATAGACTACTTCAGTCAGTTGGGAATCAAATCCTCAAGTTCCCCTGTTTTTTACAAATACAGTAAAAATTCTCCCAAAAATGTTTTTTTTTTAGTCAGATGGCAAAAAGTGTCAGAAATTGCAACTTGAAAGGAGCACATTGTGAGATTATGATCACATGCAACTTTGTGGTCAGTTAAAACATTCCCAGACTGTCACATTGCTCTATTAAAATCCTGATTTTATGACCGCAGCATCATCTGAAAAAAATGTATGTGTTGTGACTTTTGTTATGCTTACATGTAAAATGATACACTACAATTAACGTTATATGCGGTAGAACATCTTGAAAGTTTTTTTTTTTTTTTAACCACACAGCTTCAGAGATAATTTGGTTGATAATGATCAAATGACTAAGTCCAGCTGTAGTTGCAGCCTGACCCAACTGTGCATATTACTGTACTGTGTGTTACTGTCTCTGCCAGAAATAAAAGTAATTAAGAAGTCTGGAAATGTCACAGTAAAAGGTTTGATTAGATGGAGCTTATTGGGAGAGCAAAGGGGAAGGTCAGAGATGCATTCAGGTGCAAGAACTAGAGTAATCCTATCTGTTTTTTGGGACCAGTCCGAAGACGCATTCTACAGCAACAAAGACAGGCTAATAGACAAATATGAAGAGTTGTAAATGTTACTTAACATAGTTGTTCCACTTACCATGGTTGTTACAACCCAGTTCTTTACATTTTGAAGGCTGTTTAGGATGGCTGTGAACAGTGTAGATTCTGCTAAAGGTAGATCAGTGTATCATCACCACATCAATGAAATGAGACATGCGGCTCGTGGAAGACCGCGCCGAAATGTGGAGGTATCCTGGAGATACCTCATTCTGGAAAAGGCTGTCAATGTAAGAGTTTTCTCTTTTTTCTGCAGAAATCAATATGCAAGACCTGTGAGTGGTACGGCTCTTTTCATTTAACTTATTCATTTTTCACACACAATGATGCTGTTCGGTGTTCTGAAAAGAAAGAGACATTTTTGATGATTACTATAAACAAGTTATAATTGGCTGGAATTACATCATTCTGGGTAAAAGAAACATGTTTTTCTTTTTTTTTATTATCAGAATTTTGTACCTTAAAACCTATACTATATCACCAACTGTTGACTATATTCAGCATCACAAAAGGCAAAATGCTAATGACCAAATATGATTCACAGCTTTAATCAGCAGACAACACGCAGGAACCATATTGTGATTATTGATGCTAAAATAGTGAATTTGACTTAGACATAATGTATTTATTTATTTTGTGATTCTGAGTAGTTTTTGTAAGTCTTCTGCATACTGCCACAGTACAAGATCAGTATTGTTCACATGTAAAATTCTGTTTATTTGTGTTTTCTATCTTGAAATGAAGTGGCTGGGCTAGTTGCTGTAAGGTGGCACCTTGTAGGCATGTCTTTTTAAAGAAATACTGAACACTGTTCATGTGTTCGACACAATTCTGTGAAGATGAATGTTTTCTGTCTTTGTTTTGGTTGCAAGTATATTTGACTATTTCCTTTGTCCTTTATTTTGTACAAAATATAAGAATATGTGCTGAGATATGTTATGAAACAGAGGGACTCTGGCTTGATGCTGTTTTTTCTTAATTGTGACATTTCTTTCATGTCATTGATCCTACACTGTGCCAACATTAGGTTTTCAAAAGAGGATTTACTGTAAGCCACCTGCACTTACATTTTCTGTCCAATTTAAAATGAAATATTTTAATATTCCAAAGCATGTATATGGCCTTTATACATTGTTTACTTCTGGTACTACGGTTTGTGCTTCTCATTATCTCTATTAAAGCCTATCATATAACTCTAAATCATGGTCTTATTATTTCATGTTTTTCCTGTGATGTTCAAAGGTTTATGGCTGTGTTTTGCATAATACTCCTTTAAAATTCTGTCCAAGTGACAGATGTGACAAAGACTTAAATCACTGACAAGTTATTAAACTAGTTAAAGTATTGGTTCAGAGAGTTGGAACTCATTGTGAATATCAACCTATGACTATTTCAAGACACGACTAACCTCACATTTCATATATTGATTGCACATCTGTTCATTGGATGTATGGCGACAGTCATCCTACCTGCTTCTTAAGACGAATACCTTCGTCTTGGCAAATTTACATCATGTGAAAGTCAAATGAAGACACCGAAGCCCAGATTTACCAGCCGATCCTGAACGCGACATCAACAAATGCCAGCCTATCCATTTGCGCATGCCCCACATGAGATATGAATAACTCATGGTTAGAAAGGTGAGGGGCATAACAATGTCTGAGCTCAGTGTTTAATTACAAACTAGACTTAACAACATTAAAGCAACTTTCTGTCATCTGACGGTTTCAGAAAGGCGGAAGAAACCAAACTGAAGTGTTGAGTTGGACCGCTAATCTTGTGTATATCCATGTTGTTTACAGAACCCACGTTGTTCTGATTTTTTTTTTCTTTGTTGACGATTTCTGCGTAATGTTTTCATCGATGTCTTGCGGCGTTATGACGCTTGTCAAGTGTGAAAGGAGAATTTTTCACCAGTGAAATGGGATTAACCGGCGTTATTACGTGGGACTGGACGTCTGCTTCAACGGGATATTCAGCCTCTTGAATCTGCTCTGGTACTTTATATTGAGCGAAAGGTTTTATATTTATAATACCCATGGAGTCTGTTGGGAAGTTTGAGTTCAACAGGAAAGACTTGATTGGCCACGGTGCGTTTGCGGTTGTGTTCAAAGGCAGACATAAAGAGGTAACTTCCAAATTTAGGGCAAATTTGAACTTGTCTGATCAGTGTTGACATGTCAAGTGCTCGTTCATTTAAACTCTGCTTTTTTCTTTTCTTTTTTCTTTTTACCTATCCAAGAAACGTGATTGGGAGGTTGCTGTAAAATGTATAAACAAAAAAAACCTTGCCAAGTCAAAATCTTTGCTTGGAAAAGAAATCAAAATATTAAAGGTAATGTTTTTTTTGTTGTTGTTTTTTAAAAATCTTACCATATGTTTGGGTCAGTTTCCAACTGTAACTTACATTGTGCCCCTGTTCTCTTTTAGGAACTCAAAAATGAGAATATTGTCAGACTACTGGACTATCAGGTAAGGATGGTTTGTGTGACTTCAAGAATCTCAGTGTTGGAAACTTTGCTGTTAGATGATGCAAGTGTTTACGAATAGATGCAACAGAGTTGACTCACTCATGTTCAACAAATAGAACTTTTTATGCATGAGCTGTTGTAGGAGGATCACTGGCTCAATGCTACATAGACCACCATGGAAAATAATTCAATTGAAGGCACATGACAGATTTTTAGACTGATATTGCTGCTGTGCCACTTTTTCGATTTCCCATGGGAGTTGCCGTCTGAACCTGCTAGTCTTTTTTAACTTAAGAGGTGAAATATAGTGCAGGATGTGAGCCATCTGTTTGGATATAGGTCTGCTCTGTGGGAGTTCCTCTTATCACCTTACTGACACCTGCCAGACAGTATGCACGGCCAGCTGATCTGTCACTACGTCTGCCAGATGGCGGGGTGCAGCAGGTTAAACAATAGATTAGAAAACACATAGTCTGCCTATCGTCTGTGACAAGAGAGACACACAGGCACACAAGGCTAATGACAAAGTTACCTGTATTACCTGTTGACATATCTGTTTTCAGTTGCTATATACGCTTATTCTGCCGTAATTACCAAAGAACATTTCTATGCACATAGCATATTGATAAACAGATCTCGAGTGTCACAGAGCTTATCATCTTATTAGCTTTAGTTTGGTGACTCAACCCTCTTCCCAATACACCATAATCCCCTCCAGTGAGGTGGGGCCAACTCTTTAAACTTCTCACCCTTTTAGCTCACCCCCAATCGCCTCACCGTTCTGTGAATCTTTCAGTGGCAATGGAGAGAGCTCTGGATTGGGCCCACAGGCTGGGAGACAGGATACAGTTTCAGGCCCCTGAGTTTTCTGTTGTGCGGTGGTCCCGAATTTTAAAAGCTGTTGCGTAGCTGGCCAAAAAACTGAGTGTTATGCATGAGGTGTCCTCTCTTGTTGTGTAACCATCAGCGCAGCTGCTCACACTGATGGATTATTGGCGAGATTCTTCGTCTCGCACCATGAGTTAAATGACTTGCTATTTTGACTATTACACATTCATAAACTCATCCCTCAAATCAGTTATAAGATCACTGATGCTCACCACTGATGTGTCTTAGTAGATAATCTGCTTAATGCTTTGCATTTGATCTGTTTTTACCAACAGGAAATGGGGGGATGTGTGTATCTTGTTATGGAGGTGAGTTGCATTAAAGATGGGGTCTTTGGGCCTGTTTTTGTGTGATATGCAAATGTCATCTGAGCCTCTCCTGCCTTTTCAGTACTGCAATGGAGGTGACCTGGCAGAGTATCTTCACTGTAAGTCTGCAACAAAACACAACTTAAAGCTCATAACACACTCTGTAGGGATTCCCATTTCACTCTTTGACTTCCGGCTTACATCATCTTAATGTTGCAAGACAGACTCAGCATTAGAGTTTATTCCATTTTGGGGCAACAATAGGACTTTGGCAGGGGACTACAGCCAGAAGTCAGGTTTCAGATGCAGGCAGGCCAGTGGGTAATCACTCACACCTCCCCAGTGCTTAACCCAGATAAAGTTAAACCTCTCAAACAGACTTGTGCTTGGGTCTCTACTCTGTGCTTTTCTTCTTAATTGTGTGGAAATGAGCACAAAATCAGTGCATGAAACTAAATCCCAGTTTATGTTTTTTTCGCGGAGTTGGTTTTTCTGCATGTCTTGTGATCCTGTTTCTCGACGTTTCGATTCTTAGAAGCTTTTTCTCACCAGCAATTTTCCACTGCCTCGGGTTTCAAACCATATTTTGAAAAATGTGATTGGAGCCCAGAGTCATTTTCGCTCCGACTAGATTTACCTCCCTTGTGTTGATGTGTCTATTTAAGTGCTGATGTGGAGCAGTGGTCTAATTCTGCCACCTTGCCAGCCCTTCTTATGTTGTAAAAGTAGCCCCAGTAGCTATTTGCAGCCCAACACTCGCTCACATTTGGCAAGGTTGATGAAGCACCCACATGACCCTGCATCTGTCGCTCACTTCTCCGGTGGAGCGACGTGGCAGCTAGAAATACTGATCCACCGAGCGGGGCTGCAATGTCAGCTGTCCTTGATTTTGATTTCCAAACAAAGTAAACGTATCTGTGTGTGGCAGTGTTCCAAATCTTTCATATGTTCTCATGGTTACTCCCTTCTGTTTCAACAACACATCTCTCAACAGCAAAGGGGACGCTGAGTGAGGACACCATCCGTGTTTTCCTGCAGCAGATCGCTCAGGCCATGAAAGTCCTTCAGGGCAAAGGAATCCTCCACAGAGACCTAAAACCCCAGAATATTTTACTCTGCCACTCAGAGGGGCGAAGGTCCAATTCCATAAGTACAAGCATCAAGATAGGTAATTTGGTTCTGCCGGTGGAGCATCATATGACTTTTATATTCAGTGTTTTAAAAAGCATTTTTATAACGCAAACTATTTTCCCAACACTTTATTTTTCTCAACCCCCAGCTGATTTTGGCTTTGCGCGTCATCTACAGACAAACACTATGGCAGCCACATTATGTGGCTCTCCCATGTACATGGTAAGAATTCATGCCCTGTTATGCTGTGCCACCAGGCTGTAATGTCACCTTATCTCTAAGCTATTGGGTTGTATTTGTCCGGACACAGGCTCCCGAGGTCATCATGTCCCAAAACTATGATGCCAAGGCCGATCTGTGGAGCATAGGTACTATCGTGTACCAGTGTCTGACAGGAAAGGCACCATTTCATGTGAGTGAAACCTCAAAATGATAACACTAATACTCTTAAAACTGTTTTGCTCCATGGATAAATTGAAATTGATGCACCTGTTTTCATAACACCGTGTCCCACAACACGGCCATAAAAAAAGACACCTGCCTGCTGGGTGATGCTCTTCCTTGTTAGTCAGAAAATATTTGAACTGCCTGAGTGCTTGTTGGGATTGAGCCTTGTTTACGTAGGGTAGCACGTGGACATGGCTGCGGGCCACATCTGCGAACACACAGTAAACACTGTTTCACAACCCCCAGCTATTACTTTCTACTGTTCACATGGCTGCTCCAGTCCTGATACTTTTGGACTGTTATTTGCTGACAGCCTTAGTTACGATCTATAAACAGCAGCATGCCTAAAGTTCCTCTGCAATTCTGAATCCCCGCTTTTATTGCTGCTTTTACCACCTTTGTTTTTCATGTATACTTCCACTCTGAGAATGCCTAGGAAAATAGTCGGATATTTCCTACAGGCAGGTCATAAGTCATGAGAAAGTCCAAGGGTTAGCCTAGTTTGCTGGTTTAGCTCGTAAATACCCCACGTAATGCCTTTGTTTGGAGAATGTTTTTGTACAGCTGTCTTTTGTTCTTGGAAAATACATTTATTCAAATGTGTGTCATTTTAAGTTGTCTTTATTTTCTTTTTATTCATGTGTTTGTTTTGTGTCTACAGGCAAGTACACCACAGGAGCTCCGTCTCTTCTACGAAAGCAACACAAGCCTGTTACCCAGGTTGGTTCATCTCTGAGAGACCTGCATGGAACACAAACACTGTGCAATGTGCACTCATTAGACTCAGCGGGAGATGGGAGCAGGGGGTGTGAGAAGGAAGTACTGGGAAATCTATCATGTTTGAACGCAGTTTGGCAATGAGCAACTGACGTCTGTGCATATGTGACCGAGGTTTGAACACATGTGAGGCTTCAGACACATGCTCCCACAGATCAAATAAGCAGGCAGTAAATATGTGCCCCACTCCTTCTAAAAATAGTCCCAATGTGGAAAAAACTGACACGGACACCTGATGGGACCAATCACATCTCATGACTCTTATAGAATCAATATCGAAATCCCACAAACGTTTAAGGTTACATCTGCCTTTTTATTTATTTAGTGAGGAAATCTTGAATTTGGTGAGAGGTTATCGGGGAGAGAGGTTCATCATCAGTCATTTTGAAAATTCAATCTGTAGTGGTAAAAGAATGGAGCTGGAAATCATTCAAAGGACATTTCTTGTTTGTTTTCCTTCTTGGCGTGCTTTGCCAACCTGTGTATGGGTCACAGCCATGCTTATCTTCTGCGATGATACAGCTGAATGATAAGACTGGCTGTGTTTCTGAGTGAGGACGTCTAGTTTGTTTGTCTCTTACTCTATATTTAACCTGCTCCGAGGTGCCAGCTTGTGGTCGGTGGAGCTATCTTTTTCCACACGACCCACATAACTCAACGCATACGTAAACACGTGATGTCTGACTGTGTCATGCCCTGAGCTTTTGTACTAAAGCCATAGATTAGATTAGAAATTCACATATTTTACAGCTTCCGGTCTGCTAAAGAAAATGTGGGTCTCCTAACTGTAAGCATTCTCTGTCTTCAGGTTAGTTAAATGTGCAGCTCACTAAATGAAGCATCTAACAAAAACTATGCCATTGAATTCTTTCACTACTCAAATTGCATTGTGTAATGTATTCTTTGTGATTTCATATACATAGCAATAGTTTACTTTTAAAACTTTAGCCAAATATATCATTAAACTTGCTTTGATTTGTACCCATCAAGACCTGATGGAACTCAATTATGCTTGTGAAAATATCTGGAGGTTGCCTGAAGTACTAACAGGTCGCATTTTTAAAATCAGTTAAATATGACTTAAGCAAGGGTGTATTTGTACTTGCAGCATCCCAAAGGAGACTTCTGCTAACCTAAGACACCTACTGCTGGGATTGCTGCAGAGAAATCACAAAGATCGGATCAGCTTTGGTAAGCATGTTCTTTTAACTACCTGAATCCCTTTTCATTAGTTGATTTTGAAACATTTTCTTCGACACCTTGCTTGCAAGTTATATTTCTGACATGCTAATCTTTACATTTGTAGATGAGTTCTTCCACCATCCTTTCTTGGAGGCGAGTTTGCCTACAAAAAAATGTACGTACTTTGTCTAATTTCTAGTCTTTCTGTAGTGTCAATAAAGGTGTTGTAGCACAAGTTCAAAACACTAACAGATGTGTGTTTTTCAACAGCCTCGCCTGTTCCAATGTGCTCCTACCCCAGCTCTGGCTCAGGCAGCTCTTCCAGCAGCTCTTCCACATCCCAGCTGGCCTCACCTCAAGTACACTCTCATTTCAGCAGAAATACCACTGAAAAAAAAGAGGAGATATATGAAACTTGAAATATTTGTGTCACTTTAATCTCTAATTGCTAAATTTGAGTCTTTATCTTGCACTCGCTCAGCATTCCGATGGAGAGATGCATCAACTTCAGCCCAAAGTGCTTTCCCCACCCATCCAGGATACTGCCGGCTTCCTGCAGAAAGAAAAACCCACACAAGATGGTAGAAACACATCATCAGAGACAGAAGATTATGTGATGGTGCCAGTTCAGTTCCCCGGTAAGATTTCCAAGCCTCCCTCTGTGGTTTCCCGGGTTATTTGATTATGCAGGATTTTCTTCACATCAGCACAAAAGGTCTAATTACTCTTTTCTGCTTTGTAGATGAGCACTCGTGTGAGCTGCAGGCTGGGTCACATGCTGATAGTTGCTTGGTATACAGTGGGTGAGTTATTCCTCTTTTGGGAGGGGCAGTCTCGTAATATTTTCCATTAATTTAAGAAAATATTCAGAATGCAGAAATAGCTTACAAATGTATGTTTTTTTAGAAGCTCACAGCTAGTGGAGAGAATCTCTGGAGCCACAGAAAAGACCCTGACTCTGTTGCATTCTCCATCAAAGCCTTTTAGGTAAGAAAAAGTAATGCAAGGGAAGGTCTTTTTTTGGCTTAAGCTCTATCTACCACATAGTCATTTTGGTTTAAGTAAACTCCTTTTTAATTGACTCATCAAACCAACACAATGTGTTCTAAATGTATATTTCTCGGGTTTAATTTTTCTTCCCCACCTTTTCACCATGCAGCCATCCTGCTAAACTAAATGGCCGTATTTGCAGTCCATCCGCGCCCATTCCTGTCCCGACACAGATCCAGAACTATCAGCGTATGGAACAGAACCTGCAGCCCGCTGGCTCCCATGGCTCCATAAGGCATGTACTGCCATCTTATCTCTGCAGCCACTTCCACTCAGTGTCTCACTATTTCCGTCCCCCTTTGTCTAACAAATGTCTCATGTCACTCAGGGCTGTGCTATGCTGTGCTGGCAGCAACACTGTGAAGCCCCTACATTGTGGAGGTTTTAGGGCTCCAGGTCCAGACGTCGCCTGTAACTGCTCAAATCAGGCAAATGGAGGAAGCCAACCACAACAGTCCTCTCCATTAGGTAGTCACCTCAGCTGGCTTTTTACATCATCACTCCAGAGACTTATTGGCCCTTTTCAGACATGACATACTCTAAGGAACATTGATTGTTTCATCAAGCAGTAAAGTCAAGGCCCTGTTATATTATGACATTGACTCAGTCCTTTTCCTCTTGGTCCAACCACACGGCGCCATCCCTCCATTTTGTAAATGTAAATGTCCTCTTTCTTTAAGTGATCAAATTGTAGTTGTCATATAGCCGTCCAAATGGTTTTAAAAACCCTAGTGCAAGGGCAAGATGTTTATTTGGCTGGCTACACAGGACATTCAGTTCCTCTCGTCATTTCTATTTCCACAGATGCTATTTGGGAGGCATTTTACTCTAAATGTTGTTTTTTCATAAAATCAACTACTGACATAAGGATTGTTGGTCAGTTTTTTACATGATATGAATAAAGAAACAAACATGCATTTTTTTCCGGAGCTGTTCTCTTATTGTCCAAAAAAAAATACATGTATCTGATCCATTGTACTGATAATTCATTTTGAGTGAATTTCAATACAATCCATAATAGTTTGCTATGAAGTGTTTTTACTTGATTTCCCCACTGTGCTCTCTGACTCATCTCAGGCTTTTCACAACACTTTGTACATGCATGATCTGGTCATGGCCGAGTTATAAGAGAAAATAAATATCTGACTTCATACACATTATGTACTGATAATAGATTAATCTTTGTAATGCTCTGTGCTTTAGTTGGACAGACTCCAAAGACCACAGAGCAGACTCTCCCTCTCAGCACAAGAACTGGACCGCTCATGGCCTCTCCTGCACAGGTCATCCCCGGTTCTAAGGTCAGCTTCTTTAAAATGATAGCAGGATGTCCAAAGATAAATAGTTTGTCATGTTGATAGATCCAATCAGCTTGTGGCAGCATCGGTTTCACTTGCTTTGAACCTTGACTGGGTTTGTACCATGGACCAATTAACATTAGTTATTTGGTACCCACAACGGAAAGCTGCACAAGAATGGGACTTATTCTACTACAATATCAGGTGTAACAGAAGAACTCCAGCTGTTTGACAGTACACACAGCACAGCACCAAATGACAAATCACTCCTCAACTCTTTTCTTTTAGGTAGTATTACCTGATACCAGTAAAGTTGGAGTATCAAGTGCGATTATTTTCAAGCCGAAAATGTGGCGTATACAGACTGCAAGCCACTGATTGGCCAGAATCCTGCCAATTTTAAAAACAACTGCAACTATGCCATTTTATTTTGTCTGTGGCCGTCAACAGGGTCAATGACTCGCTTGTTGAGCTTTTATTGATACTTTCAATCAATAAAAAATCAATAACAGATCGCCCAAAAAAATAAAAAACATAAACTAAAGTTAAACATATTTGTTTTGTTTTCAGCAGCCGGTTCAACCCAGAAAGCCAAACCGAACTCGGACTGTCCCAAACCTGCACTCCCTTGACCCACCTCCTGTTTCCCAGACAAACATCAGTCGGAAGACAGCCAACAAAAAGGGCCCTTTCAAAAGGTCAGACTGCTATATAAGCATCTTTCTGCAGAAACAAGTTAAATGTTAATATTCATTGTTGTATGTAATGAAAACATGTCATTTAGCTGTTCAAAAAGTCACACAGTCATAACAGCTTACCTGCAATGAATTTTCAGGTCACTCAGCGCTGGCAGGCTATCTGACATGTTACTGAAGGCTGCATTTGGAGCAAATCTCCTTGAAGAGGGAAATGACGAGAACTTCTGCTGTGAGAAAAGCATGGATACAACAGGTGCCAGTATGAAACAGAATAGTATAACGTTGTATTTACAAGTCAGGTCTAAATTCACTCTCGCTAACTTTGTCCATTATGAGAACTATTTTATCTGCGCCACTCTTTTAAGCACAAGCGTTAACAGCACATGAAGGGTAAAGCCAGAAACATAAACTGAGCAGGTCTGACATTACCTTAAAGCGAATGCAAACCGAAAAAACAAAAAAACAAGAAAGGAAAGGTAAACTTGTGATCAGTTTACTTTGAATTAGTGTTATTAGGTATTACAACTAAAAGAATATACAAAAGCAAAAACAATAAATCTTTGCAACACTATAAAACACTGTCCACCACACTGACCAGGATTGTGGAGTTTGAGAGACAAGAATTTTGTTTTTCATCTGGGATCTGATTTAACTCTTCTCATTTGTCTCTACAGCTCCATCTACTGGGTATCAGAAAGTGTTTCATCTCTCAGACAGTCCACCGCCTGCTGTGTTCACCATGGGGTCTCCAACCCAAGGAAACAGCCCTCCTGATGCTCTGATATCGAGGATGTTGTTAGGTTAGTTGTTTTTTTGGCTATCCTGATGATCACTGTACTTTCTGATTATGGCCGGTGATATTAGAGGTTTATAAGTTAAACAGATTTCAGTTTTCTTGCAAAAATTAGCTTTTGTTTTTTGAGTCTTTGTTTATTTTCACTTGTGCCTTTATTACAGATTTATTCCCTGAGCTATTCAAGGATAAGATTAATCTGTCTTTTGTTTCGTTCCTAGGCTCTCCTAGCTGGCAGCTCAGCAGTCGCCCTTTTCAGCGAGGAAGCAGACGAAACAGCGAGTGTGAACCCATGGATGCTATTCCACTGATATTTCACCCTCCAGAGCTCCCAGAAGATACACTGATGGAGGTAGAGACGATTACAATTTACATAATTTAAGATGCATGACCAGAAGAAGATGGAATTTCCATTTCATATGACCAGTTTGAGTGTTTAATGTACTGAATGTGTTTTTCCCACAGGAGGCACATACAGATTCTCTCAGTGACCTACGTTTCACCATGGCTTTTGTTCACTGTGTCATGGAGCTGGCCTCCTCAAAGGATCCAGGGCTGGATGCCATCAGCAGTCCTGATGTTTCTTTTCTAGAGCAAAGCTTGGTAACAGATCAGATCAGCCTTCTGAGTAGAGAGTGGAGGTGAGGGGCATAGAGGCTGTTGTGTTTGCTTCAAATTTCTAGTGACTCATTTCCCAAAAAATCTTCTGATTAATAACCTCTGCTTCTTGTATGTTCTTCAAGCTATGCAGAGCAGTTGATGTTGTACATGAAAGCTGAGGAGTTTCTGTCATCAGCACTGCACGCCGCAAAGGAAAATATTAAACGAGGCCAACTTCTACCCTCTTCTACTGTCAAACAAGGTGGGAAAATGACTGTTGTGTAATTTTTGTGTGCATTCATCTTTTGCTAAGAGTCATATATTTCGTTCTAAGTCTCGAATAACAAGAGCATGTAGCTATTACAGCTGAAAATGCTGTTAGTAAACTCGGTATCTTTACCTGAACTATAATGCAAAACACCCAAATCCAACATGTTTGTGTGTACTCATAATAAAAAAAAAAAACGACTGTTCCTTTTTTTTTTACAGTGATCAGAAAGCTCAACGACATGTATAAGAACTGTGTGACATACTGTCGCTCCCTGAACAATCGGCTGCAGGCCTTCTTGCTTGACAAACAGAAACTTATGGACCGCTTTAATGGCCTCACAGCAGAAAAGCTCATTTACAGCCACACTGTGCAAATGGTGAGCACACTTCACAGCACATTTCTTTGATGCTCACAACAGATTAGATGTCGTTCATGTATTGATCGTGTATGTGTTCTCACTGTATGCAGGTACAGTCTGCTGCTTTGGATGAGATGTTCCACTATGGTGCAGCATCAGTCCAGCGCTACAATAAAGCCCTTCTGCTGTTAGAGGGTCTTTCCCGAACCCTGACAGAACAAAAGGACATCAACAGCATTGATAAATGTAAGACGAGGCATGCATACAATTAAATAGTAGCTAAGTTAATATACTTGAAATATATGAATGATATGTATATTTCCAATAACCTAATCTTTCAATCTTTTCAGGTAAGCAGTGCATTGAGCGTCGCCTCTCCGCTTTGCAGACATAACAGTGTCAGTGAGCTCCAAAACTGTGTCTATAGCAACTGCATTATCTAGCGTTATCAATCACCCCCTGAATGTAAATGGATCTACGAACAAACAAGCACTTTGATCTCGACCTGATCGACTTGACTTGATCTTTGACCTTGGAGAAATGACCACTTTAGCATCAACTCTTATCTATAATTGAAACTCGTGGGGCACAGAAAAAACTGACGTCTCCCTCTCTGTGCATGTTCTTAGGAAAAGATTGCTTCTGACTGTTGGAGTATTTTAATCAGGTAATTGTTTTCCTAATATTAGACTTGACATCATGTGTTAGTGTGTTTTAATATTTTTTTTACATACAGTGATCACATGAAACAAAAGATGATGTGAGGTGAAAAATGTGTTATACTTGAAACAAACACTAGGTTGCTTTTTGTGTGTATGAAGCGTTTGTGTTATGTGTTTCTGAATGTTCATCAGTCACCAACAGTGTGAATATTTTGGATGAGATGACCAAATATTGTGAAGTGGTAGCATTATTATGACAACTGTGCCTTTTTTGTACATTTTCTAACTGTAGAAAAGTGAATGTGAAGATAATGCAAGCATGCTTTAACATTAAACATAAAATGTGCTTTAATCCAGCCAGTCTTAAAGTCATGCAGACTTTTAATATTGGGTGGAATACATCATTCAACATTTAGATAAGCTTTTGCTAACAAATCAGCAATCCCTCAGGTAGTGATTTGGTCATGAGGAAGTGCATGCCACATTGTCTTTTTTATGTGCTATTTGTTTGCAATTTCATTTTAGAATGTTTTGATTGGATGCAACTTTAATTTGGCTAATTAAGTTTAAGTTACAACAATACAGTTTTAAGAAAGAAAGGTTATTACAACTACATATTGGCCATTTTGTGAAAATGTCATTTTAAATGAGGTTTGTTAGCATTTCTACAATTTCATTTGTAACTGAATGACGGTTATATTTGCCAGAACTGTAAAATCCTGTGTGGTCAAAAATAAACGTTTTTAATGATCAGACTTGTGAAGTTCTTCACCGTTGCTGCTTACATGATAAACCCATTTAAACGATCCATTTATTATAAAAATTTATCTCACTGATATTATAATTTCCCATATAGTTCACTAAATTATATCAGAATTGTTAGATAAACATGACACTTTGAAACAACACTAGAAGAATTAATAACATGTATATTATCTATACCTTCGCTCGAACATTAACAAGCTGTTTTGTTACGTCATCTTTAGAGACCGAAACTCAGAACGACTTCCGGGTCACGGAGAAGGTTACCGCGGTCGCCATGTTGCTGAATGAAATTATCTTAGCTCCAAAACATTGAAAAGCGGTTAGCAATATCAGTATTTAATATTTCACGAAGTAGCCCTAGTTACAGTATGTGACCATTTGCAAACATGACTTAGAGTTTAAGTAACTCCACCAGAAGCATAGCTCCCTGTAAGTATCACCTTTTAAGTAATAAATGTATTTATTCATGGGCCACTGGCCTGCTAGCAAAAACAAGCTAACCAGCGGTGTTTGTTAGCACGCGTCCCATAACGAGCCTCTGTGTAAATACTAAAATTTGGATCTTTGTTGTAAATACAACTAGTTCCTTTATATATATTTTTAGTATTTTTGAGTCAATTTGACCTAACCTATCCGTATGCATGTTATTTTAGACAGCCCGGGATTTCTTTCATTGCAATGTTCGAGGTAGCGCTACACAGCGTAACGCCCCGAAGCAAAACTTGAATTGAACGTCTATCGTGAACAGCTATAAATTGATGGCAATTTGCCATGTCTAACAGTTGCATACAGTAATTTCGTAAACACTCATTGTGAATATACCATTATTAAGTTTTAAAGGTATTGGTGTTTCCAACCTCATATCTGAAACCGTAGGACCAACAGCGATGATGCATATCTCTATTGCAAGTGTCAATTATGTTGACGTCTTTTTCATTTGATTAAATCGACAGTGGTCACTGTATAGTAGTCAGTAGTAAATAACGTTAGCATAGGGTTTACATTTTTATCGAAGGTTAGTGTGTTGAAACGCATGGCTTTGAAGATGATGCTTACAAATGCATATATATGTAATGATGAGTTATAGGTTTATTTCTTTGAGGATGTATTTTCCTTTTACAAAGATGTATATTCTGAGTAGACAGCTGGTTACAAACGCTACCGGTGTTAGTAAATAGTGATACATTTTGTGTTACATTCTAATGTTATGATTGAATGGAGTTGACCTAGCAGCTCAGCTTTCAAATGTTCTGTTTATAACATGTTTTAATGTAATTATTTTCTGCTAAATTCTGCATTAATTTAATTATTACAATATGTTTTGTATCACATGAAATGAATATATTTATCTTGTAATCCAGATAACCATTGTGGGTAATATTATATCTGCACAATTGTATCTGTTATATTTCCAGCAACCAAGTAGGTATTCATTCATCAATAGCTGCATCACAGCAATATTTATATACGAAAGTGTCCTATTGACTAATATAAAGAAATACCTTTATTCAAAATACCTTTTTGAGTGCCAAGTCTGTTGAGAACACCAAGATGTTTTCAGTGGTCAATTATGTTTTTTCCTCTGCCCTTCCAACAGATTGTCTTAAAGCATAGTAACAGTCACGCAATGCACCATGGAAGTGGATCACAGAATATGCAACGACAGCTCCAAAAATCCAAGTCTGTCAGTGGGTCAGAAGCAGAGGAACAACAACAACAGCCGCCAACTTTGGCAGTTACACAGCAACAAGCTACAGTTAGCCACCCTCAATCTCCTGTGACCACTTTTTCTTCTGCAGCCAGCCCTTCAGCCCCCCAGTCACCCAATTATCAGATAATCATGAGTCGAAGCCCAGTGACAGGCCAAAACGTGAACATCACATTACAAAATGTGGGACAGATGGTGACTGCTAACCAGCAGATTACTTTAACTCCACTCCCCATTCAGAACCCTGCGTCCCCTGGCTTTCAGCATACTACATCTCAGTGGAGGTTCGAGCATGCCCCATCCTCTTACATTCAGGTCACCTCACCTGTGCCCCAGCCCATTCAACCCCAAAGTCCCACCCAGCATAGCCCGGCCCCTCTGCAAGGTGTTACAAGGCCTGGGGCTCCCACAGCTGCACTGGGTGTATGTGGGCAGAGTCCAACACGATTTGTTGAAGCTGGCATGTTGGTGCGACAAATCAGTTTAGGCAGCCCGTCAGGAGGAGGCCACTTTGTTTATCAGGATGGAACAGGCCTTGCCCAGATTGCACCTGCTGCATCTGGACAGGTGCAACTAGCATCACCAGGAGCACCGGGCTCTGTGCGGGAACGTCGGCTCTCTCAGCCTCATTCTCAGACTGGAGGCACCATTCACCACCTGGGACCTCAAAGTCCTGTAGCCACAGGTGCCACCCTCCCCACTCTGGGCAGCCCTGGTCACATTACCACTTCCAACCTACCTCCACAGATCAGCAGTATCATCCAAGGGCAGCTGTCTCGCCCTATGATATTTGAGAAGACGGCACAAGGTGTGGTTGCAGGAGTAGGAACCACAGCTACAGCCTCATTCAGCGTACCTTCCTCTATTCCAGTTTCAAGTCCATCCCTCACAAGTCCATCCCAAGGGATTCCCAACAATCCTCTTGCACCCACAAGCATGAGTGTAGGCACGGTGAAAAAACAGGTTCCCAAGAAGTTAGAGGAAATTGCTCCTTCTACTCCAGAGATTGCTCAGCTGAGAAAACAATGCTTGGAGCACCATACCAAGAAGATGGACAGTCTCAAAGAAGTATTCAAAGAATATCTGATTGAACTCTTCTTTCTGCAACATCTGCAAGGGAACATGATGGACTATCTGGCATTCAAGAAGAAACCTTGTGCTCCCCTTTATACATACTTGAGACAAAGTGACTTGGACCTTGAGGATGAAGAAGAAGAAGAGGAGCAGTCAGAGGTCATTAATGATGAGGTATTACATTCAGTTTACAGCTGGAGGACTCCATGCCAATTCCTCCTGCTGAATATGTCCCCCTTTTAAGTCTTAAATCTTGTTTTGGTTTTTGCTTTTAGGTGAAAGTTGTTACTGGGAAGGACGGCCAAGCGGTGACGCCAGTTGCCATAGCAACACAGCTTCCTCCCAATGTTTCTGCGGCTTTCTCTACCCAGCAGCAGTTTCAGGTGACGGAAGCGATATTTGTTTTAAACACTGATTTAACTGTAACTAAATGTTTGAATTTTTAGTTAAGTTGTTTACATCATGAATTTATTTAACTAATTCCTGGAGAGTGTGTTTTTGCAGGGGCACCAAGGGGCTTCTTCGGGCACCATTGCAAACTCTGGAGATATGGATGCCTTTAAGAGGCAACAGGCTATGGTGCAAGCAGGTAGGGCAAGGATCATAGACGCCGGTGTCTCTTACGTTGCTTTGTTTTCTCCCCGTTTGCTTTGTTTTTGTTTTTTCTTTTCTCCCTCTAATTGCTTCTGCTTTTAGATATTTGGCATCCTCTACTAGCGCTCTGTGTTGAAGTCTAAATCCGCGGAAGGAGAGGTGACCTGTAAGGTCTTCGGGAGGTCATTGCGCTGTGCCGAGTGCCTCTTTTTTTTTTTTTTTTTGCGTTATGAGGGTATTGTGTGTTTTAAATCCCAGATCAGGCTAAGAGGCCCCGGATTGACGTTGGTCGCCATGGGCTGATTTTCCAGCATCCTGGTGTAGCTCCTTTAGGATCACCTGGCGTTCCACTCCAGCAGCTTATGCCGACGGCGCAAGGTAGGAGTGCTACCACCAGGCCGTTCTGTGTTCTGTTCGATGCTGCTGGACCTCTGGCCATCCTCAAACCAAGGACAATTCTTAGAAAATACATTCATCTTCTACAAAAAAAACTCCAAGCAGCATCAACAAACCGATCTTCATCCATCTGCTGGATTTCTCAACAATCCACAGGAAAGTCAGGCTTAGCTGTTACACCAACCAGCCGTCTGTCAGGATAAATTGGGAAGAAGACGATCCATTTCTGAAGAAGAGTAGCCACTCAATGGGAAGATGCCATGTCTTATGATTTCATTTGATTGATTTATTTCTTCTTGTTGATCACCCGTCGTTATCCACGTTTTTTCCACTGACGTCGTCAGTCGCTTTTGTTTGGAAGACCTTCCCGTGCTGATGGATTTTACATCTAATTTGGAGGTGGATCTAAGAAAATGGAAACCCTGTGGGAATGCATTCATTTTCCAATGGGTTTTGCTTGTTTTCTCTTTTTAAGAATCCACATCATCTTACCTTTTGGTTTCCCATTGTCATTCCTTCCCAACTTTGTCCTTCGATTGTCCATCTTTGCCCCATCGACATGGAATCCAAATCATCTTTTCAGTCCTCAGGAGTGTCTCTATCTCATGTTCACATTGGTTTGATTTATTTTTTCTCCATGTTATATCATGACGTTTTGTTCTGACTTGGCTTCTTTCCCTCAACCTAAGTAGGAGGGGAATCATTTGGAGGAGATTTGTTCACGGCACAGGTTTTTGCGAGTGTGGTGGTGTGGGTGTGTCAGGGCCAGGTGTTGATGGCGTCTAGGCAAGGTGATGAGACGTGCAGGGAGGTAAGGCAGGTGCTGCTTTAGTGTGCACAGCTCCGCTCAGGCCTGCTGTCTGCAAAACCCCATGTGTCTTTTTGCTCACCTCTGTGCTTTGTCGCTATCTGAGGCATCCAGATGTCTCGGTTACTGCAGTATATACATTGCTTCATGCATGCTGAACATGCCCTTTTGCGAGTGTCTGCTTTATAGTTTTATTTCCCCTTTCTTCTCCCTGTCTCTTTGTTTTCAAAAGTTTTTTTTTTCATTTTTATGTGTAACATTTCTAGTTTCTCTCTAAAAACTTCTTATTGCATGTACTACTTTTTGATGTTTTAACCACATTCTCTCAACATTTGAAATGCAATATTTTGATTTTGCATTAATCAAAGTAGTGTTTTATTTGAGAGACATGTAGATTCTCATATTGATTTCCATTTCTTCTGTAATCATTTTGCTGTATAAGTTTCATTAGTTTCGCTCTGATCATCAGGGAGTAGTACACTACTGGTGATGAACATAGTACATCCAGTTTATTAAAAGGAGGTTCCAGGAGCTCTGAAATAATAAGCTCACATAGCTGTTTATAATGTAAAAAAATACTAATTCTATGTGCATTCAAAATGTAAAATTCTTACAAAGGGGTCTCTCAAAGTTTTATTAAACGAACTTTGCTAAATACTTCATGGCAATTAAAAGGTTCTATTTACAAAAGAGAATAATAGGGGAAAAAATACTTTGTTTTAGGTTTCCAACTAAATTTTTACAATTTTTCTCTGTGCTCTCTATGCTACTCCTTTGCCCTTTTCCTTTGGTTGACATGTACACAGGCGGCATGCCCCCTACTCCTCAAGCGGTCCAGATTGCAGGCCAGAAGCAGAACCAGCAACAGTACGACCCATCCAAAGGACCACCAGTACAGAATGCTGCCAGCCTGCACACCCCTCCTCCTCAGCTACCTGGAAGGTTGCCTCAAGGAACTCTGGCTTTGGCTGGCCTGACCATGCAGATCCCTCAACAGACACAGTTAGTGGAAAATTCAGCTCAATCTGGTGGTCAGCTCCAGGCACAGATGAAAGTGCAAGCAAGTGGGAATGTCCTGGCCACAGTGAACCCCCACACACAGCTTCAGGCCCAGCTGCAGCAGCAACCTGGTATTCATTTCCAGTTGCAGACCCAGCAACAACAGTCCCAAGCCATTCTACAGCCAGGACAAGCGGTCAGTCTGTGTGAGATCCATCCAGAGTTTTTTGTTTTTCTTGTTTTCTTTTAAATCCATTAATCAAAGGATTTATAGCATTAAAGGCTCATTTATGGATGAGTATTTAGATATCTAAAGATAAGGTATGTCTGTTGGAAAGGGATAATGGTTAATAAATTGTTATAATGTAAATCTCAATTCAATAGATTTTTTTTCTTACCTTTTCTTTAGACCGTGGCACTTGCTCGTCCTGGCACTGAGTCAAACCAACCAGTTCCGAGGATTATGACCAACTCAATATCAATTACATCTGTGTCTCCTGCTACCCTTTCTGCTCCAAACGCTACATCAGCTTCACATGCTGCAAGTTCCCTTCGTCCTGTGAACTCTAATATCAACCCAAGCACCCAGTCTAAACTGACTGGAACCAATGGCATATCAGCGGTGAAAATAAGTGGCTTTGCTCAGAACACGAGCATGCAGACCTCTCAGGAAACAACTCAAGATAAGCAAGTCGAGCAGGCCAAACTGGTGAGTTTTATAAGCACATGTTGTCTATTACAGATGTTAACATGGGTTTATTACACATACAAACTGTGCTTTGTTGAAAGACCAGTTCTCCTTTCCTGACTCCAAAACATACAAAACCCAAATATAAATCAAGGTAAATTATTTAGAGGCAGTTAGGTACTTTTAGATGTTGGTAACCTCTTCATAGTTTCTTTAACTATGGCAGGATGTTCCTTTTCGCCCTTGGCATCTGCTGTATAAACGGCCAGTGATACTTTAATGGACTCCTTATTTCAGATTAGGAACTTTCACACTGTCAAGGAAACTCTTTGTCAGAGGAGATCTTTGGATTAAAGGTGTCATGCAAATTGGCTCTTAAATACTTGTAAGCGTCAGTAAAATGTTGGTATAGACACGTTTTTAACTTGAAATAGAACCTTGTACCAGTGCTCACCCTTCACTGAGTCAAATGTGATGGAAGTCATGCAATGTCTAATTGATCACCAGCAGGGTTTTACTTTTTATCTGTTAAGTGTTAATGTAAAAGTAAAGATGCATTGTCCATCATCCCAATAGCAGTCCTCCTCAACTAACAGGTTTTAGAATGTATGTTGGCAAAATCATGAAAACAGGGAATGACCACCAGATTCAAGATCTCTGCATTATTACATGCAGAGTCTGTACTTGATCAATTCTTTCTTGTGTAAATTAATTAGTAATGTTATGTTTGTTTGAAGACCAGGTAAGGACCAAAATATGTTTCTATATATTCAGTCTGATTTGTAATTAGTTGGAAGTAAACAGCAGCTATTTCTGTGTTTTAGGAGGGCCAGGTGCATCAGCGCATTTCGGAGCTAAGGAAAGAGGGTCAGTGGTCGGACAGTCGACTCCCCAAGCTTGTGGAGGCTTCACGTCCAAAGTCCCACTGGGACTACCTCCTGGAAGAGATGCAGTGGATGGCAGCTGATTTTGCGCAGGAGAGAAGATGGAAGGAGGCCGCTGCAAAGAAGGTTTGGCAAACATCTAAGAGATAAATGTAAAATTACATAGTAGTGCAATAGAAAAAGAGCTACTACAGAAATAGCTGTTTGAAAGCCATTCCACTGTGTGTTTCTGTTGCAGCTTGTTCGTACATGTGCCCGTTACCATCAGGAGCAGAAGAAAAGTGAGGAAAGATCACAGAAAGAAAGAGAAATCTATCTGCGTCACATTGCCAGCACAATGGCCAGAGAGGTGGAATTCTTCTGGTCTAACATAGAACAGGTATCTATGTTTATTTAATCATATTTTGTTGTTTGTTACATTTATATAATGTATAAATATCATTGTGTTCGACCAGTTTAAATGAGAGAATTTCCTTTTTTCCCCCCTGTAGGTTGTTGAAGTAAAACTTCAGTTTGAAATTTATCAGAAAAAACTTAAAGCGCTGGGGTTACAAAAACTCAAAGGTATGTCCAGTTCAGCAGTTTCTGAAAATGAGTCATTCTGTTCTGTCATTGTGAGGTCTTATACGACTTTGACTGTACACTTACTGTCAGGCATACTTTTACAGTAGCTCTTTTTAGCTTAATAAAGATTTTTTTATACGCACCATGATGATCAGTCTTGTTTCATACAGTGGTTACAGTGAAAGTTTTATACTGCTGAATGTTCTTCCACTTTACCGGAAACTTTTTTTGTAATGCTCATACTTCCATTACAGCATCTGGTCTGTCAGCTGGAGAAAAAGGCGAAAAAGTGGTGAGTATTTCCCTGATATTCAACTTGTCAAAAACATTCAATTACACGTTGATTTATGTGTGTAATATAATATAAATGTTTCCATGTAACAGGAGGCGTCCACTTCTGCTAAAAAAAGAAAATTGAGTTCATCCTTGATGGCTGATGAAGACGGTAAGTGTCAGCTGCAAAGCCTTTGGCCAAAGAATCCAAATAAAATTGGGACTTTTTTAAGACTGTACTCACTTTTAGTCACAGATGAAGAGAGCACCATAGAGGAACAGGAGGTCACAGAAGTGGAGGAAGACCACAAAGCAGAATTGGTTGATCTAGCCAAAGATGGTATGTGCTTTTATGTTCTGATGAAATTGTCATTTTATCTATTGATAAAATTTGTTATTATTTTAAGAGACTATATTTGATTCTTTTTTTTCTTTTCTTTTTTTTTTACCCTTGCGTGGTAATTTTGTGTAAAGGTTATCATTGCTTATGGTGGTATTTTTGTGTTTTTTGTCTATTTTCTCTCTAGCTGAAATGCCTCTAGATGCTTTGATGAAACAGTATGCGGGCGCCTATGCTGATGACTTTGAGTGGCCTCAACCTAGTCCTCAGAGTGTAAAGAGTGAGATGGAAGAGACTGAAGGTGCTTTTAAAAACAGATTTTACAACTTCCAACATGATGTTTCTCAGTAATGATGACAAATAATGTATTTCATATCCTGTCTTTTGAAGAAATGGAGTGTCCAGCAGGTAGTCCACCTGAGGCGGTTTTGATTGACTCTCTGCTTAGTGTGGACCAGTATCGTGGTTCTGACAAATCTTATGAATCTGATGGGAAGGCTGGCAGAGATATAGCTGAAGTGGCAGCTGCCACAGAGCTCATTCTGCCTAAAGGAAGCCTCAGAACCACTTCATCAGTAAGATTTTTTTAAGGAACGAGTCACAGACACTTGAAATTAAAGCATTGTTTCATTTTCAAAGTTATTTTTCATTTTCTAGACACGGAGCCCAGCGCCACTTCTTCTGCATGGACTGCTGCGGGAATATCAGCAAATTGGTGTGGACTGGCTGATAAACCTTTACAAGAAACACCTCAATGGAATCTTAGCTGATGAGACCGGACTGGGCAAGACGGTACAAACCGTAGCATACATGGCCCACTTAGCAGGCCAAGAGGGTATGTTGAAATTTATGATGCTAATGGTTTTACAAAATGCTATGCTGTTTTTCATTAGTCAGAATGGAAGATGTAAAATGTTGTCCTTTTTTGTCCGCAGGCATCTGGGGTCCCCATCTTATTGTTGTGAGGACCTGCAAGTTGTTGAGCTGGGAAATTGAGTTCAAGCGCTGGTGTCCTGGTCTTAAAATTCTCCTGTACCTGGGCAACAGAAAGGAGCGAAGATCCAAGAGAACGGTAAATTTGTGGTATTAGAAAACATTTGCATGACATATTTTAATATATCATATGTATTGACTTGTTATTTAACCGTTGCTTTGCAGTGGTGGGAGGAAACAAACAGCTTCCATGTGTGCTTGACATCTTACAAGCTGCTGATGAAAGACCAGAGCCATTTTCTGAAGAGAGGTTGGAGACATCTGGTCCTGGACGAAGTACAGCTCATCAAAAACATTACAGAGAAACACTGGGAAACTATCTTTGCCCTAAAGAGGTAAGCCCAATAAACAAATTGATGTTTTTAGAGATGATCACGACTCTGTGAGCTCCTGGGTGGTGTGGATATGTGTTTACTCCTGTCGTTTTGTTTATTTTGATAACATGTGTCTTGGTGTTTAACAAGAAAAAAAAAAAGCTAAATTCTTATAAGACTCCTGTGACTGAGATGTTTTTCATCCACCAGTGAACAGAGGATTCTCCTCATCAACACCCCTCTGCAAAACACTCTTAAAGAGTTGTGGACGATGATTCACTTCCTGTTACCAGGAATCACCCGGCCCTATGCTGACTTTCCTGTGAAAGCAAGCACAGATCAGAACCAGGACTACTGCCACAAACTAGTCATACGCCTGCACAGGGTGGGTGGTGTGTGATTATTCTGCTGCCTGCTAAACTCCTTAAAGTATTTCTATCAGCTGCTGTTATGGTACGCACAACTACATTTAATTTGAAACATTCTTTTACCCCCACCTGTAGATGATCCAACCATTCATCTTGAGGCGGTCCAAAAGAGATGTTGAGAAACAGCTTCCTAAAAAATATGAACACATCCTAAAGTGCCGTCTGTCCAGCAGACAGAAGAGCCTCTATGAAGATATCCTCACTCAAACAGGGTGAGTTGTTGTGTTGTGACCTCAAAGATGTGATCTAACGCTCGACACAGTCGTCGACAATCACCACAGATGATTTGGGATTTACACAAACAGCAGTTTCAAAGCATCTCCTTGTGTGTACTACCTTTAGGGCTCAAGAGGCACTCAAGACGGGCCATTTTGTCAGCGTGCTTCAGGTTCTGATGCAGTTGCAGCGAGTGTGTAATCATCCTGAGTTAGTGGCACCCAGAGAGATCAACAGCTCCTATTTCTGCTCCCCTCTCCAATACAACGTCCCATCGCTGGTGCTTAAAGCTATGGAGACGGACTCCAGCAAGGTATGCCTGCTTGTGTTAAGGTCCTGGAAAGTAGGATCGCTCTGCGGGAATTTCAAGGAAAAGTTTTAATTTTACCGAACTGTGTAGCTTTGTGCATATGTGAAGATTTACTTTCTGTCTTTTAACACAAATTACTGTTGATATTCGGGGTAGCATTGCACCAGAAACAAATATTACACCCTTTATCTTATCTTTTTCTTATCCTCCTAGACCTCAAACCTGTCTGTATTTGATCTTATCAACAATGAGAACAAACTGACTCGCTACCAGACTGAAGAGTCGGTGCCCAAACTGAAGATCACTCAACAGCTCATAGAGGAGATCTACTCAGGTCCAGACCCCCCTCAGAGGCCGAAGCCATGTCCCATAAAGCCTGCAAGGTCAGAAAAAGTGATGCATGTGAAGATTCTTGGAAGTTTTCAAATAACTCTTGATGTTAGCCCAACATGGAGCGATGTTCTCAGACTAACATGATACAACCCCTTTTCTCTTGTCAGATTGTTTCAGCCTGTGCAGTATGGCACCAAGCCAGAGGGTCGATTAACTGCCTTTGCAAATGCAACAGCAGGTCAGCGTCCTCCAACCAGCACTCCCCCCAGTAGTACCACTTCTGCCACAGTTAGCCAGTTAGGCCCAACAAGAGGCAAGTCCCCTGTCTCCACTACTACAGCGACACCCACTTCTCTTGGTAAGATTTCAGGGGCAGTGTTGCGTAAAGGCGGACGGGGAATTGTATTCTTAACCATGATTTAAAAACATTCCATTTTAAGAATAAACCATCCACAGCTGCTTTATTCTTGGGCTATGTGCATTATGCAGTGTTATGCTGCATGATTAAGACGCTGTTTTGAATTTAACATAACCTCTTTTAATTAGTCATGCACTAAAAATTAACGCAGAGCTCATATGTTCATACAAGGACATAATTTATGTGCAGCACTTGCATAGAGCTCTGCAGTGGTGAAATGTAGATCTTTACCCAGGGTTTTATTTCAACTTCCTCTGGCAGATTGCAGTGGTGATAAAGTATTAATGTGTTTTTAAATTTATACTTCCAAGCAGCAGTGGTGGGTTGGTAACATTGCTTTTCTGTAATGGTGCTCTGTGTGATAGAAATGTAGCACTGGGAAGCTGCTACAGATTGCCAAGTCTTCTTTTCTTTTGTTTACATTCTATTTGATAGCTTTTGCCCTGTTCCCTGTAATTACTTATTGATTTAGATATTAATGGAGTCGGAACGGCATTGCAAAACACAATTCACTATATTTGAGTTGCATTTTATGAATTGAGAAACTGTTATGAAGGAAAACTTCAAATAGTTTCCCCAGCCATAATTATTACAGAATGCAAGTCACTATAATCTGGGACACCTCCATTAAGATACTGATGAAAGTAAGCAGAAACCTGAGGAAAATTATACTGTCTTCATTGTAAATTAAACTTGTCAAAGTCAGCAACTTCATATTAGGGCATGACATCTTTATTTTTTACTAGGTAGATATAACCATGTTGTTTAACACTTTAGTGGCGTTGTTGCTGATCAAACCCTAACAGGAGCATCTTGCTCCGGGGGTGTGTTTGACTGGCCATGCTGCTGAGCAGTGAAGTTGCAGCTTGTGACTCTGCAAGAAGGCAGTGACCAATGTTCACTGAGGCTAGCTCTGCTAGCATGGTGGAACAGGTGGATCTCAACATTGTTGCAATTTCTGTGACAAGAGTAACATACTTTTTTTATTGAGTAGGTAAATTGGCAGGATTTACCTGCAATGAACAGTTTTGAAATAAAGGGATGTACCATTTATACCCATGATGTTATTACTGTGATCGGGGACATCAGTGGCTTCCTTAAGCTTGCTGTGCTGGCCCACCACTGCTGAGTGAATGTACAAAGAAAGCAGTTTGATCTCACTGGTATGACTAAATACTGGGTTACCCTTAACACGGAGTCCCATACCCCATTGCCTTGTACTTCACAGCCATTGGAACAGCTACTCAGAGAGCCCAGGCTACTACTCCTGTCAGCAGCAGCAACAACACTGCAGCCTCCTCTGTAGCCTCCTCTGGGAACAGTGGCGTTGGGCAGCATGTGTTGGGGACTGCCTCTGTGGCCTTGAGCCAGACCTTAGCTAGTGCAGTTATGGGCTCTATGGTCCCCATTAGCCAGCCTGGATTAGCACAGGTCCCCAGGCCAGCTTTGGCCCCCAGCCATGCCATCCAGCCCAGTTTACTGTCCCAGAGGTTGGTCCTTACATCTCAGGCCCAGGCACGGTTGCCTAGTAAGTGGCCTGCCCTTCCCTCCGTCTCAACATTTCCCTCCACTTCTGGCACACAGTTTTGGCTGCTCTACACTGAGGCCTTTACTTGAGGCACTGCTGATATGTGTGAAGATTCTAACCTCTCCAGGGAAAGTGGCTTCATGTCAGCAGCACATGTACAGCCAGTGTGGTTGCATGTCATGTATCAGTACATAAAAAAACTGATGATGATATAAAATTCCCTTCACATTAGACCTTTTTAGCCATATCAGCAGCATCTCGACAGCCTCAGCATTCCCCAATTTCTCTCTTGAAACTTGCATGTACACTATGAATGACCCACTTATGTCCCACCTCACTGAGCAATGCAACTGTAAGGAAACTTGCAGGATTTTACAACCTGGTCCCTATTTTTCTTTGCGTATGGATGAAAATTCTTGTATTCACAAAAATCTTTGCATTCAAATCTATATTGAGAGACTGATGCTGTTTTCTGGCAAGCATGAAACATTGCATTAATGCATAGGTCAATGGTGCTCACCAGAGTTAAATGAGGTACAACTGCTGTGCCACTGAATTCTTGCCTAAGGTTGGCTGTATCAAGAAATGACTATCTATGTGTGGAGAAAGCACTGACTTGTTTGTTGTGGAAAGAGTCGGGCCTAATTTTTCAGAAACAGTGTGTACTTTTCTTGTTTTTTGTTTCTTTGTTTTTTTTCTTCGCAACATAATGTTTTTACTTTTGGGGGTTCTCGGCCACATCAAATTCTATTAGAAAATACTCTAAAAGAAAAATGTAATTGACCTGAGGGGAGTGAGATTATTCCCTTTGTCTCATAGTCCAATGTCCCTTTCATGTTTTCATATAAACGGGGATCGCTATTAAGAGCCCAATGCATGCAGTTGTCAGGTCAATTTTATATATGTGTGTGTGTGTGTGTGTGTACATATATATTTATATATATATACACACACACACACACAAAAAAGGCGTTTCTCTCATTGTGATCCCAAATGCAAAGATTTCTGTGCTGCATGATTGATATTTTACACCAAAATACGAGGAAAAATGTAAACCTGGTAAAAAAATTCAGTGTCGTCCCTCACCCCTCTTTTTATTATTTATTTTTCCCCCAGTTTACTAATGAATATTCTTGCGTATCTTGCATATGCTTTGCTGTAGGAAAAATGCCCATAGCTTTAGTTTCTGTTGTTTTTTTCCTTGCTGGCATTTTTTCTTTTTTTCTTATCTTGTGTGTCACTCCAAAGCATGTGTCCCCCACAGATTATCGCACCCTGTCTGGTACAGATGAGAACAGAAAACTCTCAGAAACACTCTGCATTTGTCAATATAAAAACAAAACAACTTTATGTGAAAACCATCTTACAAATTTTTGGTTTGTTTTCATCTTAATGCCTATTGAACCGCAACATGTGCTTTTATGAACACAGTATTTAGCCACAAAGGCCATCAGTGGGTAGTTTGCTAATCTTCATTTGTGTAAATGTGACAGGGGTCAGAGCACTCGTATAAAAGGAGTATTTTAACCGTCCCTAAAAATCTAGTTAAGATGTCTTCAAAGGTCATGTGAGGAATTGTGCGTTATCATTGTCAAACATTCCCACACTCGAGAGACTGTGAGGTCATTCTGCTGTTTTATTTGTCGTCACCTCAGATTATTTCACATATTGTTCTGACTGCTGTCAAATAGCAGAACAGCACTTCAGCAGATTTATGTTATATATATCATAGTGTAAAGTTTTTATTTTATTCCCAGAAACTGGAGAAGTAGTTCCAGTAGATAGTGTGTGTGTGTGTATGTATGTGTGTGTTCGTGCATATATACATATATATATATATATATATACACCAAACATTTGATGTATTTCTTTGTGATCAGTGAAAAAGTGTTGAATTCACTTATTTATGTTATTTTTAGGCCTCTCTGTCTCCCCGATTACTGCCTTAGCCCCTCATATTTTATTTTGAAAAAGAAATACAATTTGCTTTCATTCTGTCCCGGAAAGAAGCTGTGCTCATCCCACTGATTAATCCACCCTGGTGCTGCATGACTGATCTCTTTTACACCCCTGTAACTAACTAATTAAATAGTCATTGTTATGAAAATGTCATTGGACCCTTTTCATCCTTCTCTAAGTGTCTGCTTATCTTTTCCATTGAAGGTGGAGACGTGGTGAAGATTGCTCATCTGGCAAACATAGCAGGCAGTCAAAATCGGATCTCCCAGCAGGAGACTCCTGTTACGCTACAATTCCAGGGCAACAAGTTCACTTTGTCCCCCAGTCAGCTCCGCCAGCTCACCACTGGACAGCCCCTGCAGCTCCAAGGTGCACTTTTTCTACAACATCTGGCAGAATTGTAGTCTTTGCCTAGTTTATTCTTTTGTGTTATCTTTCAACGTTTTCATCTAATCAGTTAGCTGCTCTTTCATCATACATGTTTGATTAAGTTTGAGATTTTCTTAAGATTTGACATGAAATATTGCATTCGATGCAAAGGGGATAAGACATATTTCCTAATATTTCATCATGTGTTGTTACAGATTTCTGGAGAGACTTTTGAGTTATCTTCTCTCCTTGTTAATTGTAATATGATGTTAGTAGTTTTTCTCTAACCCCTGCCAAATGACCCTTAATTCCAAAAGCATTTCTATCCACAAGTTCACCTTCAACATTTCCGTCCTGTGTTGGATTACAAGAAAGAACCTCTGAACTGTCTGTATTTGTGATGGATTTAGGCCTCCACATTGTGCCAGCTCCAGGGCAGCAGCTCATAAGGCCCCAGGGGTCCATGGTAATGCAAACAATGCCTCAAGCTGTTCCTGTTTCCAATGCCTCTGCTACACCTGGCACACCTCACCCTGCCCTGTCAGCAGCTCAGCAAGGTGACTCATTTACCAAGAACTAACATTTTACTATCTCATTGTCTGCGTCAGTTATTTTTGGTAAAGTTATACAGTAGTCAGTTGTTGTTGGTAGAAATCATTACCTCCCACTTACATCTGCTGTAAATGTAATGCTAATATTTTTGGAAGAACATCCAATGTATTTTATTCTCTTTATTTCTTTTACAGCACTGAGTGTGACTTCTAATGCCACATCATCCCCCATAAGGACAGCTACTGCAGCTCATGGGGCATCACAGGTGAGCTAAATAACTCCTACAACGAAGCTTTTAATCCTCAGTAGAACGTTCAAGTTTTTACTCATACACATCATGGAATAAAAAGAACTTAAAATGATTCACAGTGAAGCAAAACGCCCACAAGAGACATTATTTCTGTCATAGTGCAAAGCTGGAATTCAGTTCACCCACTGAACAATGTTCCCTTTTTGCTCTTTTTTTCAAAAATGTTTTACAAATGTCTTTCTTTCCTCTCTCTTTATCTTTATGTGGAGTTTAAAGAATTTCTGGTTTAGGAAATGGTTATATCCTGCAGAAATACTGCTCATTTTTGTTTCTTTTTCCCTCTTATATCATTTTAATAAATAGCTTTTTCAAAAAGACTGATCAGTTGTGTCATCTGTGTGTTCAGGAGGCCTCAGAGGAAAAGACTCAGCTGGTTAAGGAGCGTTTGAGCCGTTTGTTTGAAGCAAATGAGCAACGCTGCAGTCGCAGAGTGCTGTATGGCTCAGATCTGCTGCAGGCATGTACTCTGAGCCCGGAGCCTGGTCACTCTGCCCTGACCGCAGGTGGCTGGAGGTGGGTGGGCAGGGAGAGCTGCCTCAGAGCTCAGAAAACATGTGTGGGAACCACTTGTACACTGCAGTCCTCGCTGCTCTCTGTCCAGGACAACCTGGAGGCTTCCAACAGCCTCATAAAGAGGTAAAACATTGTGTTTTCTGCATTGCTTATGGCTTAAAATCATTCACTGCATAATGACAACCAAAATAAGCTAAACTTATCTCTGAAGGTTTTTGTTAAACTTGAGTTTCTTCTATTTCATATCATAATCCTTCCAGTGACTCCTGCTTCTTTACTCTCACATTTAAATGTAATTGTGGCTCATTTTGTCCCTTAGGCTGACGTGTGTGGTGCCTCCAGCGGTAGCTCCACCTCCTCACTTGTATACAGCCAATCCTTCAGTCCCCTACCGCCTGGAGCAGAAGTGCTTTCAGCAGCGGCTGCAGGAGGCCTCTTCCCCCCACAGTGCTGACATCCACTTTTTAACATCCAGACATCTCTTCAGTTATCCTGACTTGCAGCTAATGCAGATGGACTCAGGTTTGCTCAATTACTGTTCATGTTGTCAGTTCTTTTCTCTTTTACTAACAAGCAGATACCAAGTTAAACTGTATAACAAATAAATCTGTTGAAAACTTGCTGAAAGCATAAGCAGACTGAATTCTGAGACAGAAGTTCAGATCATGAACATTTTATCTCCCTTCTCTCTGCTTGCACTGGATAAATTGATCAGATTATGTCCTCTGATTGTCCACATCTTTCTCTCGAGCACAGTTAATGTGCTGATCCGTATCAAATTCAAACAGTGAAACACAACTAGACCTAAAGCTCAGCCCCCATTAAGGATTGTTTGTGCTGTTTTTCTCTCCATAGGTAAACTGGAAGCTCTTGCCATTCTGCTGCAGAAACTTAGGTCAGAGAGTCGCCGGGTCCTCATCTTTACTCAGATGCTGAAGATGTTGGACATCCTCGAGGCCTTCCTGGATTACAGGCAGCTCACTTATGTGCGCATTGATGAAAGCCTCGCTTTTGATGAAAGACAGGTAAAGTCTCACAACCATAAGTAGAGTATTATTTGTAATTTTGAAAAAGCTGATAAATAAAATGCATGCATATGCAACAGGCATAAAACCAGTCATCAACAATTTAAACTGCTTGATGGTCCGAATTTGATGCTGAAGCACTCAGTGGTTCAGTGAAACATGCTTTCAGGGGAAATATTCGGGTGAATTTGGTTCAGATCTGACATTAACTGTCAGATCTGAGGATTAACTCTGATTAGATTAGTAAGAGGGGCTTCAGACTTGTTTTTGGCTCACTAGTACAGGTGTGAAATGTCTGTTGCATATCGACACAGTTGCTCTGCTGTTTAAGTGTGATATGTTAAAAGATTTGTAATGTGTTTACTGGCCTTTTAAAATGAGTCTTTGTCTTGTTCTACTAATGTGCTGGTGTTTGTGGACCTGCAGGAGAACATGAGGAGGTTTAACAGGAACCGGCAAGTGTTCTGCAGCATCCTGACCAACCGCTGCTGCTCCGCACTCGGCACCATGGTTGATGCAGACACAATCATCTTTTACGATACGGACCTCAATCCAAGCATGGACGCCCGCACCCAGGAGTGGTGTGAGAAAATAGGACGCTCAAAGGACATACACATATATAGGTGATATTAAGTTTATTCCTTTAATTTGTCACCAATAAAAGATTAACCCAGTCCACTGTCTGTTATGCTGAACAGTGGCAGTGAGCTGCTTCTTTCGAGGGTTTTTTTTAGTGATTGTTTTGAGTGTTTTCCAGGCTGGAGAGTGGGAATTCCATTGAAGAAAAACTGCTGAAAAACGGCACCAAGGATCTTATAAGAGAGGTGGCTGCCCAGGGCACGGACTACACTTTGGCTTTTTTGACACAAGTAAGATGAACAAGTTGTGGTTATTTACGTTTTCATTTGAATTAGAATGTCTGACCTTGTGTTGTTTGCCTGCAGCGGACAATCCAGGATCTGTTTGAAGTTGAAGCGGGCTCAGGGGTGAAGGTGGAGGAGTTCGTGGTTCTTCACCAGGAGCCATCAGCCTCTGAAACCATTTCTCCCAAAGTGGCAAGACCCTACATCCAGGCTCTTCACAGTATCAACCTGGAGGCTCAGCCGGAGGAGGAGGAGGAGCAGCAGGATGAGGAGTCTGCAGAGGAGTCAGAGAGCCAAACTAAAGAAGAGCCTGCCCAGATCGAGGAGCTGAATGCAGTCATGGAACAGGTGACTTTATGATCTCTATGAACCGTACAGCTAGAAATAAAACTGGATCTATTAACCATAAGGAAGTTTCTCTTGTGCTACTCCTCTATGTCTCATTCAATTATCCCGCACACAGCTGACTCCTATTGAAAGATACGCCCTCCATTATCTTGAATACCTCCATGTGAGTGACGATGAGGCAGCGCTTAAGGTAAAAGATTTGTGATTTATATTTGCACAGATTTTATAGAAGTGGTGTGGAAATCAATGCTCATTATTTTAGAAACCTCACGGTGTCAGTGGGCCATTTCTAAGCACCACAGCTGATTGATCGCTGCATTGTGTGTATTCCCCAGGAGCAGTTGGAGTGTGCTAAGAGGGGCTGGGAGTTACAGCAGCTGCAGAAGCTGAAAGATGAGGAGGAGGAGCACCAGATGACGGTGGGAGAGGAAGACTTGTTCACCTACACCAGAGAGGATGCTTACAACATGGTGGGCGGTGCAGTCATATTTTTTAATCAAAGAAGAGTGGATGTCCCGGTTATGTTAAGCTATTGTTGTTTGTGTTTATTATTTAAACAGGAGTATGTCTTTGATGCAGAGGATGGTCATACAGAGATCATGCCGGTAAGACAGCAGATGCGGTATGATCAGGGGAAGTAAACCCCGCTGCTGTGGATTTTCACCTACTGAAGTAGACCCTCGTATCAATTTAGCTGATTTCATTCTTATGTTCTTTTTTAACTCCTTCAGCTCTGGACTCCACCCACACCTCCACAGGATGATAATGACATATACATTGATTCAGTGATGATGCTGATGTATGACACCACGCCTATGCCAGAGTCCAAGCTGCCCCCGATCTATATCCGTAAGGAGCACAAGAGACTCAAGATGGACCCTTCAGGTAAGACATCTGTCGCACAAGGACTGCTGCTGCTCTTGTACAACAGCACAGCGATGTGCAAAGACAATGTTTTGCTATAAGAACATTTGCAACCAGACATTTGGAGGGAAGTGACATCCCCCATTTCTGAAGTGAATATTTACTAATGAACAGAATTGAAGATGGCTCTTGCTTGCCAAGACTTTCTCCTTCCTTACTAGGCTGTTTTTTTTTTTTATCCAAGCAGCTGCCAGAAAAAAGAAGAAGGGCCATGGAGAGACAGTCATACCTCCACGCTCGCTTTTCGAAAAGGCCAGCATGCTCAAAGTTCGCCGTGAGGGCAAAGACCAGAAAAAGAACTTCTCGCTTAAGCAGCAGGCACCGTTTGCCAAGCCGCTACCTTCCCTGGTTAAACCTGCCATGGAGGCAGGTCAGGACAATCCGGAGTGGCTCATCAGTGAGGACTGGGCTCTGCTTCAGGTACTGCGTTCGGCCGCTATTTCCGTCCAAAAGCCCTCCTCCTTAAGTTGCTGATAAACAAGGAATTCTGTTGTTTCTGTTAGGCTGTGAAGCAGCTGCTGGAGCTGCCTCTAAATCTGACAATCGTGTCCCCCGCCCACACGCCCAACTGGGATCTGGTGAGCGACGTCGTGAACACCTGCAGCCGCATCTACCGCTCGCCCAAACAGTGTCGCAACCGCTATGAGAACGTCATCATCCCCAGAGAGGAGGGCAAGGTACTGAAACGGAATCCCCCGGTTCGGCTTTCCCTTCAGGGTTACTCCCATTCTGCTACTTTATCTGATCCGTGCTTTCTTTTTCAGCTGGTGTACGAAGCCAACCCGAAGAAGAAAACCAAGAGCATATACAAGGTACGCTGCCCTGTCTGACCTTCGCATTTTATAAAAATACCTTAGTTCTCAAATGTGTAGCTGACTTTCTATTTTTCTGTTTTTCTTTTTCTTCCACATGTGTCAATGCTCAGTCTAAGAACAGTCGTCCTCTGAGGACGTGTCAGATCTACACACAGGACGACAACGCCTCTCAAGTTCAGCTGTACAACAGTCGCTTTGAACTTATGAAAATAATTGCCAGCAAGAGAAGCCCCCCAATCAAACCTCTGTAAGCGCGCTCAAGCTGACAAGCACATCGTTTTTGTTTTGTGAAAATGGGGTATTTAATATGATGCGATGTGAGGAATTGAACTAAATCACTGTTGGGCTGTGTCTCATGTGTTCCCTTAATGTGTTTAAACTCCCTCCAGACTTGGAATGAATCCTTTCCAGAAAAACCCCAAACACGCATCAGTCTTGGCAGAAAGGTTTGTTTAAGGGTGTCGTTTCTGTGTCTTTTAACTCTGAATTTCACATTTGGAAGTCACCAGTGATGAACTCTGTTCTTGTTTTCCTCAGTGGAATCAGCTACGATAAGCCTCTGCCACCCATTCAGGTGGCATCGCAGCGTGCTGAAAGGATTGCCAAAGAGAAGAAGGTGAGTATCAGCTGTGTGTGTGTTTCTGCTCATGCTACAAGCACATAGCTTAATTTCAACAACAGAAGAGAGTGTTTGGTATGACTGACATCTAACATGTGTCTACAGATGTATGTGCCTGGTTTAAATGCAGTTATGCTAGAATCTTAATGCGGATCGTTATATCCGCCAGCATGTGCTGCATGTTTATCAGACTTTGGTCTGTGTTTGTGTTTGCAGGCCCTTGCCGAGCAGCAGAAGGCTCAGCAGCTAGCTCAGCAGCAGGCTGGAGCTCCCCAGGCCGGGGCCGTGCCCGGGCAGGTCCAGGCTCCAGCTGCTGGACAAGCCCAAGTCCCTCAGGCTCCCGCCGCCGTTGGAGCCACTGCTGTGCCAAATGCAGCCGTACTGGTGAGAATCTTAAGCCTCCTCTGCTAATATAGTTAATATGCTGAAAGAGATCCAAAATCCCAAACTGGGCTTCATGTTTCTCAGGCTGGAGCCATAAAAAACGCCACTGTGGGCACAACCATCCAGGCGGGTAGGTCGACATACACATGGTTCGGATTACAGTGCAGTTAGTGTCAGTATCTAATTCAATGCTCTTTTTTTCCCTGACATTTCCAGCCACCGTAGGGGGGAATGTGATTATGAACACAGTGGCTGGAGTTCCTCCAAGTCCCTTCCAGGCCAACAAACGCCTGGCATCTCCAGTCATACCAGGCACCCTGTCTGTGAGTCATGTTTGCTGATTACTGCCTGTCTGGAAGGAGTTTAGAGCAGCACCAATGGCCTCTGCGCTGCGGCCAGAATCCTCACTGCAAGCTTGGCTCACTGTGTTGTTGGCGCTTTTGACGCAGCCCGCAGGCACACCGGGAGCCCAGGTGGTCCACGCACAGAGAGCCATCACAGCGGCCGCGGCGCCCGCTGAGGTGGTCGCCATAGCTACGGGTCAGAGTGTCAGGACTGTGACCGCGGTGACGGCGTCCGCAGTGGTTTCTACAACTCTGAGCCCGGTGCAGACAGTGCAGGCCCGGGTCCATCAGGGCCCACCAGGTATCTGAATGAACTCCACCTCAGGGTCTTCTCTCAAACTCCCCACCCTGACTCGTGCTCTGTCCTCTCCCCAGCCGCCAATATGCACATTCCACAAAGGCAAGTCACTCCGGCCCACGTGCAGTTATACAGACACCCGCCGCAGCAGCAGCAGGCTACGTCCCCTCAGACCAAAGCTGTGGGCAAACCTCAGGTACGTCGTTAGCGCCTTTGCTCACACCACAAACAACAGTGTGAGGAAACTCGCCGACTAGATTAACTGTTCAATAAGACATTCATTTGGTTGCAGGTCCAATCCACAGGATACTTGTCCTAACCTACTTATGATTGTCCTTGTAGGAGTTTTTAAAGGTGCAGAAACAAAAACTGCAGTTACAGCAGCAGCAGCATCAGGGTCAGCAGGCCTCGGGAGCCCAGCAGGCTGCCCAGGTTCAGCCTGCACAGGCCGGCCAAGCCACGCCCCAGATGGCCACTGTGACCGCACCCAGACCTGGAACCGTGCTGGCCGGCACCCCCGTTAACGCTCTGCAGGTGGCCAGACTGGTAAGGTCCAAATGGAGACCTGGACACATGAAGACAGAACTTTCAACACAATTAGAAATATATCTAAATACTTTTTTAAGATTAGCGTCATTAGAGAGAAGTAACAAAGAAAGGGTATCTCATTTTGTTTGCTGTCACAGACCCGGGTCTCCGCTCAGGGCCAGATTCAGGCCCAGCCAGGACAGACTGCTCAGGTGACCCTCACCAAACCTCCCGTGGTGTCAGTTCCAGCCGTCGTCTCATCCACCGGAGTAGCTAACCTGCCTGTTACAGCCATTAGTGTGGCCATCGGCCAGGCGCAGAAAGGAGGTGTGTTGTTTTTCAGCTATGAATCTTAAATGTCTCCCTTCTCTCAGTATGAATAGTTTTGATCAGTGCTGTATTACACAGATTAAGGAAGGCAGCTTTATTTTTATTTTTCTTCTCTTTTTTTTTTGCTATAAATTGAGCCTGTATCATTTTTACTGGATTATCTTGGATGCTGCAGCGGGCTGTTATTGTCCCAGTTGACTCTTTTATCCTGAACTTCTGCTGTGTTTTGTCCTGTCAGGCAGTCCCACGCTGACGCCGCCCTACCCCCCGGTGCAGGTCCAGCAGCTGATTCACATAAAGAAGCAGCAGCAGGCGGCGGCGGCGGCGGCCCAGCAGAAGGCGGGGCAGCCGCAGCAGGGCCAGGCCACTGTGCAGCAGAAGGTACCGGCCGCCCGCCCACGCTCAGCGTCAGCAGAGCGCCAGGAGCTTCTCACTGAGTGTAATGGCCTTTCCTCAGATCGGCGCCCAGCATGTGACGGTGCAGGCGGCCCAGCCGGCCCAGCAGCCGCAGAAAGTGACCTACACCACCACCGGAATCAAAACCCAGTTCTTTGCTGCGTCCATCGCACAGGCTCAGAAACCGGCCGGTGCCCAACAAATCCAGGTGTGTGACGGGCACCGTAAGCCTGGAATCAGACAGTCCTGGTAAAGACTTGTGTGCTGATTTGGATCGTTGTTGTGTGCTCGTGGTGTCAGGTGGCTAAGCTGCCTCAGATAGTGCAGCAGCAGCCGGCGGTGGCCAACATTCAGCAGATCGTGTCTTCCCCCCAGCAGGTGGGTTTTCCTCCTTCTCTGCAGACTACAGAGCACTCACGGCTCTGGCCGTTTGGACCGGCGGTCTGAGCTCACAGCTGAGCCCGTGTCAGATCCAACGTGTCCACCCGGGTGGAACCCCTCGCTAAGTTCCCGGTTTCTCTCCAGATCCAGGCGCAGCCGCAGACGGTGACTCTGACGCAGGCGGCCACGTCGGCCCCCGCCCAGGTGACGATGATCCCCGCCGGGACCGCCGCCGCCCAGGTGGTCCAGCAGAAGATCATCCAGTCTCAGGTGGTGACGGCCACCGCGCCCTCCCAGATCCAGACGCCGGCGCCACACAGCCCCGCCCAGCCGCCCGCCGCCCCCTCGGCCGCAGAGTCCCCGCTGCAGCCGCCCGCTCAGGCCCAGCAGCCCAGCAAGGGTCCGGCCCGCCAGGGCGGCATCAGGGCCAAGGCCCCCGCCAAGCCCAGCGGGGGCGGCAGCTAGGAGCAGCGGCTAGGAGCGCCCTCTCTTCCTGCCATACAGACACACAGCGAGCAACGGGGTCGTTACACATCCTGAGCCTCGGAGGCCAGATATGACAGCACATTCTAAACCACGCCCTCCCTTGTCCGCACCTACCGCATCATTTTAGACGATCAGCCATCATCCGTGCGTGTGTCGTTGAATCAGCGCCGTTCCAACCCCAATTTGATCCAGATGTGGATTAATTCTTTAAACAACAGCTTCAAAATGTAGCCATACAACTACTGCCCCATCCGTCATCTCAGTCATGCCTTTTAATAATTAAATGACATCTGAATTGTGAGGCTGAGGATTATGAGTCATTCTGCATCAAGAATGAGCTCTGTATTAGAATAAGTGTATTCATAACTAGTCCCTTTTTATGTCTGATTCTCTTGTCTAGATAACTGAATGGAAAAAAATGCACGTTCCTTTAGTCATTTGTTTTTGTTTTGTTTTTTTTATTTCAGTAAATACACTGTAAACATGTACTTTAGTATTTTACGTTTACTCATAAATTGTCTTTTTTATTGATGTCAAAGGAAAAAAAAGTGTAAATATCAACAGAAACATTTGTACTTGTAAAGTAGTCGTGTTTTCATTGGATTTTTCAGCCTAATTGTAATAAAGTGTTTTGTTTTTATACACAAATCCATTTTTCCTTTCATTAAAATGTTGTAAGTACTTTGAAATCTTGTGAGTTCTTAAAACCTGCCATCAGTTGGTCTGAGCCTTGTTCAACCTGCAGTTCCGGGTTTGACCACAGGAGGCCGCTGTTCCACCTGCAGACCCCCACCTCTCACCAGTTTTTGGCTACTTCTGATTTTCCACTTCATTGAAATTTCCCATCTGCTCCTCGGTTGTCCGCCCTGTGTCTTTTTCTCTCCCCTGGCACTCGGTGGCCAGTCCATATTCACAACTAAACGAGGGAGACAAGGGAGGTGAGGCGGAAGAGAGAGGGCCGGGACATGAGCAGATGGACACAACCACTTCCTCCGGCCGGGAGACCACTCCACCCCAGAGTGTGCTCTTATTTGGACACGACAAATAGCACCACTCTGCTTGTCTTTACAGGGTGGCATTCGTGTCGGAAACATAAAGAGCGCTAATAGTCTCACGGTTATAAAAAAGCTCGCAGCTGTCAGGCTCGTGGGGGTGGGCGTCCGCGTGAATCACACCGTTTCCATCTAGAAAATGTCATCTGTGGCTTCACAAATCCTTTGTGAATGAGCGGATTTGCCGGTAACAACCGTGCTAAAGCCCATTTCCCTGCACTTTCTCTTCAGGTGTCCTCTTAAAGACAAATAAAGTGGAAAATAAAGGCCCCTTTCACACGTCTTTCTTATTCAGTGTAAAACCAGAGCTTCCACACAAGTTCTCTGATCTGGAACTGAGAGTGACACCTTTGCAGCTCCAAGTGTATTTTCTCTTTTTTTTTTCCTGGGGGGTTGCCTGAGCTACAGGCTAACCATCTCCCCCCCCCCCCCCCCCCCCCCCCACCCCGCCGCCGACAACACCCCCTCCCCCCCCCGCCCTGGCCGCTAATGTCCAGCTCAGGCATCGATCACAGGCCTCTGGGGCCCCCCCTCTAATGATCATCCTCAAACGGTGCTGATGATCACCACCACCGGAGAAGAAAAAGCCTGCCTGTACTGAGAGAGGGAAAAAAAAGTTGCCATGGTAACCAACTGTGATTCCCCCGGCCCCCTCCCTCCTCGAAGAGCCGGTTACAGGGTTGATGAAACAACGGATTTTCATGAATCACTTCATTTGATCCGTGGTTTACTTCTTTCCTAAGTGGATGACTCGCATCAGGAGCAAACCTTTTTTTTCTTCTCTAATGTGCATCGTGCCGTCCAAGTGTTGTGCCCTTCAGCAGAAAGTCCCACTTTTTCCCCTGTGGAGCTGCCCATAACTGTGTTTCTTTTTTTTCCCTTTTAAATAAGACGAGACAGAGGTGGGGGGTTGAAGCATCTGGGTAAAATCAAAAAGGATTGCTGTTGTGATTCAAACTAATAAAGATAAACATCAAGACGTCCTCTGTGATTTCCCTTCCACCCCGTGATGAATCAACTCTGTTTAGTCATCTCTCCCTGAGAGACGAGTCTCCTCGGGGCTGTGGGACGCCCGGGGGCCAAAGTAGGACATGCCTGTTACTCTGAGTGATGAGTCATGGGTCTGCTGGCAGGCCTGGTTTAAATGGAGGGGGGGGTTTGTGCCAGTCCTAATTGCTGTATGCAACAGAGGGGTGATGGATAACCGGAGCTTTAACGCTCCACTTCCCTTTTCACGGCAATAGGAAGCGTCAATTGACGTTTTGAGAACATAACGGAGATCTCTGATAGAAGTCTTCTCCCACTCACACACACACACTCACACACACACACTCCGGTTCTCTGAGTCTCTCTTTTTCTTCCCTGTTCCTGTCGGGCCACCAATCCCGGCCGTTCTCCTCCTCCTTGGAAACGTCTTGTGGTGTGAAAGTGAGTGGGAGAGTGGTTCTGAAACACAATGGGGATCTGTGTCTCCGGGCCCGTGTCTCGGGGGGATAATCTTCCTCTGAGGTGTGGCCCCCCCTCAGCACACAGGGCCTCGTCTGTCCGTCCGGAGGAAATGTTTAGGTTCGCTTTAACCCACGGGGAGGAGAGGAAGTCTCCCGGCCCCGACCTGCTTCCGGAGTTTCCCATTCACGCGCCGACTGGAAACCAAAAAAACGCCGCCATGCAGGCCCCATTGTTCCGCGCCACCAAAAACGTCTTTCACTTCTCCTTTGTTTCAGCCGTGTGCCGAATTTAACCGAGAGATTTTCCAAAACGGCAACAAAAGCACGTGACGTCCGCCTGCTCAGCGAGATTAGGAAGAGACTCTGGGCTGTCCACGGGCCTTCTGATGTTTTCAAGGGAGCACTTAGGAGCAGATTTATTGAGCTGAAAGTTTTGCCGCATATCAAATCTCGACAACGCATTAGATCCTCCGCAGCCTTTTAAATGTCTCCATCTTTGAAAGACACACAGTTTCTCAAAGGTTTTCGAGTTAAAAAAAATTTGAAGTTGAAGTTTTTTTGGTGTGATTTATGGTACTGTCCAATCGTGCTGAGCCACCACTCATTTCTTTATATTTTCTTTCCAAGCTGCTCGACTTTCTTTTAATCTTTCCAGGCGGCCTTGAGTAATAGTTCTCCAGGCTTTTTCTGCTTTTTTCTTTGGACGCTGGCTGCTTTTCTATTTATTTCCAGCCCCGGCCATTTTGAGAGCAACATGAGTTTTTTTTTTTTTCTTTCTCCCTTTCTTTTGTTTAAGCTACTTAACACTGACCTTTGAATCATTGGAGCATAGAAAGGCTCTTAACTTGAGGGATGAACCAGTGAACATATTTTGATGTTAGCAACCTGCTGCAGAGACATCTGCTCCCACTTCTCCTGCTGAATTTAAGAAAAATGCCTCAGGTAACACAGCTCCACAGATGTAGAAGATACACCAACAAGATGCTTTCAGAGAGACTGTGCTGTGTGGAAAAAAGAGAACTTGAGGAAACAGGTCAAAAAATGGCTATTAAAACTAAAGATACTAGCAAAAACTGTTGGTGGAAAGGGGGCAGTGTGGTAGCACCTCTGGTGGCACCCCCCAGCAGCCGGGTTCCTGCTTCAGATCCTGGTCGGGAACACTCTTTGTGGCATTTGTTTGTGTGGTTTCTCTTCTCTCTGTTTTCTCTGGTTTTCGCCGTTTGAAAACACACATTTTAGGGTCACTGGGGATCAAGCCTACATTGACCATAGGAGGGAGAGGGACTGTGCACGGCCCTGTGATGGGGACAGGTTAAACCTCTTTTCACCGAGAAAACGTGTCAAGTAACTCTTTTAGCTTTAAAGGAACAGGTCTACTTCTCTGATTGTGGGGATATAAGCTTTGTATGAGACAAAACGATACGGCTGATTTTTAGCACAACAATAACGGAAGCCTGGAATAAAAAATGACTTTTGCCGTTACTGTAGTCTGAAACTGGGTCTCAGGAATCGGACAGCAAAACGTCTGTATTTTCTTCTAACAAGTTAACAAAGACGGATTCTGAGGCAGGTGAAAAGCCACCGTCGATCTGGAGCCATGTAAAAAGCGTCAGCCCGCTTTGGGCTGATGTGATTACGACACATGTGATGGCTCACACATGTGAAACGTCAGGGTGGGTTTTTGCTCCTTTGGACGGAACCGCGTCTGCTGCTTTTTCTCCTGTCAAACTGAGAGGAAACAGATCCAAGGTTAAGTCTCAGTAGACATACGGTTGTTTGTGCATGTTAAGCGTTCATCAAGAAGTGTGAAATTCTTTCAAATTGACTTCTTATTTTCATTTTTCGCAAAAAAATTTCGTCTCTTCTTATAGTCCAACTCTCTTTTTTAAACTGTGGTTGTCATTCAAGAAGAAAACATGGGTAAAGCTGCATGGCAACCAGACTGAGATGAGAAAACAATCTTTTCAGACCTTTTTGTGGCTTCTGTGGAGCCAAAACTCTTAAGTGGCTAATGTTTAAACCACCCAGAACACTCGGCAAAACCCCGGCCCACAGCCTGGTGGTCTGAGGGGGGGGGCCGTGATAGCGAACCGCATGCTGTTCAGGGGGAGGGGTTTATGTTGGAAGGTAGTAGATGTGAAAAAAACATGAAAGACCCCCCACTCAACTCACACACACACACATACACACACACACACACCCACACGGCACTCTTCCATTTCCTCGCCCCTGGCCGGCACCCCTTCATCCCACTGAGCCCCCACCCCCAAAACAAACTCACACACATGCTGAAAGATGAATGTCCAACAAATGGAGGAAAGCTCTGAGTGAGGGACCCGCATGAGAAGTGTATTGTGCGAGCTGG